AAAAATTCTCATTACTTTTGATGGCAGGATCCAACCTCCTTAAGTTATCTCACTCCTGACACAGGTCATATCAAGGATTTTTTAAAGATTTTTTAGAAGTATATTTCGATAACTACTCATGTAGACTCAAAATCGCAAATAAAATTTGGGGTCAGTGTGCATCTTACTGAGCTACGGCACAATCAATTTGACCTTTTTGCACTTAAATTGTATTTAGGTTAATCACTTTTACCTTTATCATAATTTATCTGATTTAATAATGGCAATAAATATAATCTTATCTTACGTATTTTATGTAAAATAGTTTGAAAAATATTTATTTAGTGCTGATAGGTTGGACTTATTGTATAGTATACACTTATCCACTGGTTGTTAGTGGGATAGCTCTTTTATCAAACCCGCGACAGGAACTATTCCCCGAGGGCTGCCCGAGGGGAATAGTTCCTGTCAAGGATTTGATGAAGAGCTATCCCACTCACAACCAGTTGATAAGCGTTTTATTATACTGATGTATACTATAATTTCTAAGGGTTGTGGGCAAAACATGAAAACCTCAAAAGAATAAATATAAAACTTTTGAGGAAGTAATTTGAAGTAATATAACACTACAAGAATAAGCTGAAATTCCTATGACGTCACACCATGCTCCTGAGGAAATTATGACATCATCATTGTATAGATTTATCGCAGGAAATATAATTGGCGTCAAAAATTGCATGAAAATTTTCAGAGGGTTGGGTAGCAAAAACTATACCCCGGGGTATAGTTTTGCTATGCGTGGAAATTTTCAGACTATAAAAGATAGTTATTTTACCTTCTTAACTTTATATAGAAACATTCTAACAGAAGTATAATAATTTCAAATATGTCAAAAAGCCTGGCTTTTATTTATCTTGGGGAATGGTCGATACCTATATTGTTTGTGATTTGTGATTATTTAAAACTATATTCAGTTGGAATATTTTTTTTTCAATTTTGAACCCATTAAAGTATTATGTGGAATCACCGTCAAATCAATGACATCCTGACAATACCATAAAATCAAGCTACGATTGACACATATTCAAGTGCATTTGAAAGACAAAATTAAGCCAATATTTTTGTTGGTTTCTTATAGAGATTTTCAAAGTCATGTTTTTTTTTCAACATTTCTTATATTTTGAGGGCACTAAATTTTAATGTTTTGAAAGGTTTATTGGAATGTTCTTGTAAAGAAGAACATTAAAATATTCAAATTAAAATAAATAAAATAAAATAAAATATTTAATTAAAACAAATATAGAACGTTATATTGTTGAACGAATCTTGTCCCACGGATCTATTGTAACTATGCTACTCGTTCCGTGTGATGGAAAGGTATCGGAATAATTCTTATCTACACTTTACTGCAAATAATCCAAGTCGAAAGTCATCATGGCGCGTAAAGTACAGGTCATAAATGGCAGCCCTCCACCGGCAGGTGATGGCGTCTTAATATGAGTGACAATTCTAGAAGGGATGTTAAAATAACATATACCTTTTTTTAAAACTTCTTTAGTTCGCCTTTCATTGCATAAATAGAATAAGTCCGCTTAACATTACTAATCAAAGGAAATAATTTATTGATTATCAAATAAGAATTGTTGATAATCAAATTATCGTAAATGTGAATTCCTTGACCATCTTTTTATAACTGAATTAAATGCTATTTTTCTTAGCACATCCAAATTAAAACTTTTCTTTCAAATACATGTATATGCAACGAAAAATAAATAACAAAAAATTAATTAATAAAACTAATTAATTGAACCTATATTTAAATTCATGATAAGCCCTTTTCACCGGATTGGATTATTTATCTATTAATGCAATATGAGCTGCAACTTTGATGTCGGAAATTCTTTGTTGCAATATTGTAATTAACTATTTAAATGACAGAAGAAAAAAAAAATTTTAAATTTCTTTTGTTTATATTTTCGGTTGAAGAACTATAATCTCTTATTGAAGCAAAATAACATTATTGTCGTCCTTTACAATATTGATTACTTATATAATAATATACATCCATTGTACAGTTCTAAACTTTCTACCGAAACAATTCAATACTTTATTTTGGTCTAATTGATCCCAAAAGTTTAAGTTGCATATAAAATAATTAAACCAGCACATTTTATCAGCAAAATAAAATTCTCAAAAATGCAGTTCATATTGCTTTAATTCATAAACAAAATTTAGTATTTTTTAAAGGGATAAATAAAATGCTTCTTACAATTTCAAGAGTGCAAACAATGGATTGGTAGTTCGCTTATCGTGCATTCCATTCGCTTATCGTTCCCTTATGATAGCAAACCATACGTTCACTTACTAGTTTTAAGCCTTCAGCTGCACTTGTGTTCCTCTGCATCAAGTGCTCTGATTTCCGTATAATCTCGAATAAAGCAATAAAAGACATTATTGCATTTACACGCACGATGAAATATGAACTTTTAAACTATAGAATGTGTTATAAATATATGGCGAGGTTCTCTAGGAGTACATGAATATTGATCACTTCTGAAACGAACAAAATCTCCTCTTTTTGGGATAAGTCAATTATTCATTCGCCTTTCTTCATAACGTCCTGTTAGCAAATATAAACTATCATTGGGTTGTATTTTAGTTGACTTGTTTTGCACCAATTGTCAAGCTTCTTATTTTGTACTAAATTTGACTAGGGAATGTTCCGTCTACCTGATACATGTAAATAAATAGGGCTGACGGCGGGTGTGACCTGCTAACAGGGAATGCCTATTCCTCCTGGACAATTTAACTGATCCCACCTCTAGAAATCCCGGGAGTAAGTTTTATTCCCTATTCACAAATTGTTATTAGTCCCCTACCGGTGAAACCGGAGGGACTATAGGTTTCCTCTGAGTCCGTCCGTCCGTCTTTCTGTCTGTCTGTCCGTCTGTCTAGCTGTCCCTCTGTCTGTCTGTCAGTCTGTCCCACTTGGTTTCACTTTTTTCTAAACGTTTGCAGATATTGAGCTGGTTTTTGGTATGTGAGTGTATCTTGATGAGTTACAGATCAAGTTTGCATTTCGTTCCCCTTCATTAATTTTTGACGGAATTTCGACCATTTCAATTTTTCAGGGTTTTCCGCAATTTTTTCTGAATGCTTGCTGATATTGAGCTGATTTCTGGTGTGTGACTTTACCTTGATGAGTTATAGATCAAGTTTGCATTTCGTTCCGCTTCATTGACTTTTGAAGGAATTGTGGCATTTTCAATTTTTAACAGGAACCAGATTTCACTTGACGGTAGGGGACTAGTATTGCTAATGCAATACTCTCAGAATGCTTGTTCTTTGTAGATTTTTGAGATCCATCACCGTCCGTTATCTTCACCCTTTTTATTCAGCCTAATTCATGTATGAGTCATTAGAGAAAAATTATTTCAAGGCTGAGACAAAAATATTTTGCTGGGGACCTACTATGATTATAGAATTTTCAGATGTTACTAAGCACTGTAAAGTAAGGCCGGTTATGTAAAGAGTGTTAAGAAAGTTTGCTTTACACGGAAATATTTCTTTTAAAAAACTGAAGTTATTATTTTTTTAGTATGATTAAATCTTTCATAAATTTTATAATGTATTAGACAGACTAAATAGTCTCTTAACTCACCACATCTTACACATATATCTGTTTTTTTTTTTTAATTTCCTGCATATTAAAACCATATCTATATCTGCCTTCCCTTTTCATTTCATACCAAACATTTATCAAACGCTGTTCAGTAACTAGAGTCAACTCTCTAAATATGATACATCTCACAATTCAAATATCCTCTCGTTGTGTTTTTCAAGAAAAAAAAGAAAAATGTCGAAAGAACAATCTTAACCCCCTTTAGTAATGCGCAAACATCGGCCAACAAATAAAATAAAAGGATTATTTAAACAACCTCTTTGCATATTAAACATATATAGGAACAAATGCTTACACAACAGATTAACTGGTAGGTTTATTCAGAACTCTAATGATAAGACTTTTGTAGAATTTCTTTATCAATTAACGTAGAAAGATAATAAATATGCCTACTGGTAAAAGGACATGTCGACGGAAGAATTCATCTACGATGAATTGGAATTCAAAGATAATTTAACATATTTGTACTGTATTTCATCTTTCTATGTATTTTTTTCTTTATAAATGACTCAGAAAGTGATGCTATAAAATGTGTATTCGTGTTCAAAATTCAGAATACAACCGACTAACCGACCGACTAATCGGTTAACCGGTTACCAATAATTATTGCTTCCCTAATTATTAATAATATATATATATATATATATATATATATATATATATATATATATATATATATATATATATATATATATATATATATATATATATATATATAGTGTTCTGATCAAATATAAATATATTATTACATGTAACATTGGTACAATTTTTTACAATTTTTTTTACAATTATGGAATACATATACGCAAAATTTTTGATACGATTAACCAACTAATCGGTCGGAACGTCTTGCAGTTAACCGATTGGCAATATATACTGTAAAGTTCTCCTTTAATCATGCATTGAGAACTTGTTCTTATTGAAAATTTAAATAATCATTATATTCTTTATAATTTCATGGTTGCTTTACCTTTACATGATGGTTGTTTTAATCCTTATTTTCTTTTTGCTATTTTTTTTTTTTTTTTTTAGAAAAAAAGGATCCAATGAATAAAGAAAAATTCTGGTGAATTAGCAGATAGACATAGCAAGATTCGTCATCTAAAGATTAAACACAGTTAATGTTTTTGTCAACCAACAAGACCGTATTCCTCACTATTCTTTCCTGTGGAATTTGTGCACGTTGTTTTTGCAAACAATTAAAGCATGAAGCTTTTAGACTATTTCTCGCAGTAAAGGAAAATTGAAATAAATGTTTAAACAGCTACTAATTTTTGATACATTAAATGATTCTAAATTATATCTTTTCTTCAAATCTTAAAACCTTTGGACATTAAACATGAGCCAACTTTATCCTGAAAATCCATTCAAATGCCACGAATGCGGACGAGCGTTCCGACACAAAATATACCTACATTATCATAAGCGTCTGCATGTCCCCTTGACACCTGAAAAAACAGACACAGATATATTAATATTTCCAAAGATAGAAACCAAACAAATATGTTCATCGACAAATTGTGCAAAATCAAACACTGAGATATTCTCTTCAGTGAAACATAATGCAGAAGAAAGATTGATTACTCTTACAGAAAGAAAAAACAATTCCAAGAGGTGCAGATTCAAATATCGGGGGCGGGAGTTTACGTTGATTTCAAGACACTTCCATAAACAACCAAATTTTTGCCACAATAAAATTAATAACAACAAATCAAATAGCAGAAAGGTTTCAAATTGCAACGATTGGCCTACCAAATCGAAAAACTTACATCTTTGTGAAAAGTGTGGGATAAACGTTTCTCATAATGAACACACTTGCAACATAAATGGTAACATTGCAAACGGTGAATCGATTCCTTCTTTAGAGTTGCCTATTAATAAAGACTATACACCTTCTAAACAACAATTTCTGTCTGGACGTCGCTTCAGTGGATCCGTTCATCATATGCCGGGTACAATCCACACGGATAGGTTTCTTCGAGATCATAATTATCAAAATGCAAACGACGAAAAAGCTAACAAAGTATTATTCAATCAAGAAGAACCAAAATTTCAAACAGCAGAAGGAGCGGATCTATTTTTATCCCCAAATGATAACCTGATTAAAATAGAGTCGAGTCCAAGTAAATATCCACAAGCCAACATACAAATAGAGATACCAACAGCCTACCTCCAAGTTTACCTTTGTGAGTACTGTGGCAATACGTTTAGAAGGAAAATTGATCTTGAAAGACATACAAGAATTCACACGGGCGAACGCCCTTTTCAATGCGCAACCTGTAGAAGAGCATTCATACAAAAAGCTCACCTGAAAATTCATCTTGAAAGACATTCCCATATCGACATAAAAGAATCAACTTTGTCTCCATTTCTCGATGAAAATTCCAATCAAATCAATGATAGAGACAAATTGTATAAGCCTCAACACGTATGTAAAGTTTGCCATAAACATTTTTCCCAAAAGGGACACCTGAACGTTCACATGTTAATTCATACAGGTGCAAGGCCATTTACTTGTGATGTATGCAACAGAAATTTTAACCAAAAGCAGACATTGAAACGTCATATGGTAACCCACTTAGAGAAGAATATAGAAAGAATTTCAAAATTCAAGTCCCAGATAGAAAATTCCATTCAGAATGTCACGGAAAACTTAGAAAATGCAAATTGTTATGATTCAACACAAGGTGTATTCAATAGTCACCACGAACATCAGTCATTTACATTAAAAGCAGAGGATGATTTTTTAAAAGAATATCCATTAAAACGATTCCGAAAAAACTGCCCAAACGGAGACTTATTAGACAAATTTGCCGAAATATTTCCAAGAAGCAAAAACCATCACAACAGCGAAAGAACGACAACAACCAGCTGTTTGAGAGAAAACCGTAGACAAGAGCATAAATGCAAATTTTGTGAAAAACGATTTAAGCAGAAAGGGCACCTCAATGTACACTTGCTCATTCACACCGGAGCTAGGCCATTTAAATGTGACATTTGTGGGAAGGAGTTTAATCAAAAACAAATATTAAAAAGGCATCTGCTCATCCATCGACCCAATCATCTGGAGGAGCGTCAGAAATCTAACCAACAAATGTCGACGGGATCCATCGTTGAAGAGTACGTATGCGAGTTCTGTGGGAAAATTTTTAACAATAAGTATAATTTTCAAAAACATCACTTGATACATTTTGGCGAAAAACCATTTCTGTGTGTTGAGTGTGGTAAGTGCTTCCGACAAAAGAACCATTTAGATGACCATCAAAGAATTCACAGCGGTGATAAACCCTTCTCTTGTGAAATCTGCTCTAAGATGTTCAGCCAGAAACAAAACCTAAAGAAACACATTCAACGTCATGCAAAGCAATCAGGTTATTTGAATAAAACTGATCAAGACAAAGATGATAAAGTTAATAGGAATTTGGATACCCGATTAAAAGGCGATTCTGACTTAATAGGATGCATGAAAGATGAAAAAGATAGAGTGTTTGCATGTAATATTCTAGATTCGGTAGTAAAGAAATCTATTCAGACTTTTCAGTGCGATTTTTGCGGGAAAAATTTCAAGCGCAAAGAATACCTCAAAGTCCATCTCCGAACTCATACGGGTGAGAAACCTTACCACTGTAAACTGTGCTCAATGCGCTTCACTCAGCGAGGGCACCTGTGGGTCCACATGTCAAAGCACAAATAAAAATTATTTTCTTTTAATTCTCAGGATATTTGTGCATATTTGAGTTTCAATACTTGTATGCACACAGTCTCTAATAAATGTGCAGTATATTCAGGATGTACTGTTCGCAAGTTTTAACTTTTAAATGATTTAAATTCATCATTTTTCAATCATTAAGCACTGGTTCTGGAAAATACGTGTTCAATTTTTCTTTAAAAACGATTAAAATAAATTTAACATTATGTATCTTTTATCTATGAGTTAATCATCAAATTGACTCAAAGTCAAAACTCCGAGGAGAAGATCACTGGAATTATGACGGAGGGACCACTTTGATGACAAAAAATTAACAGGACTTAATTTGGATCTCTAAACCATTTTTTTTTCTTTTTTCTTTAATCATTTATTATTATTACTATTGCTTGTTTGTTGTCAAAGCATCCTCAGATGGTGTAGATTCAAGTTTGTTCAAATCATAACCCCCTTGGGTAGGGTGGGGCCACAATGGACGATCAAATTTTTACATAGGAATATACAGAAAAAATCTTTAAAATTCTTCTTCTCAAAAACAGCAAAGACATGATTGGTCATATTTATATGAAAGCATCCTCAAATGGTGTAGATTCAAGATATTTATTCAATTTATGACCCCTGGGAATAGGGTGGGGCCACAATGAACGATCAAAGTTTTACCTATAAGAGTATATAGGAAATCTTTTAAAATATTCTTCTCAAGAACAGCAAAGCTATGATTAGTCATATTTATATGGAAGCATCCTCAGATAGTATAGATTTAAGTTTGTTCAAATCATGACCCCCGGGAGTAGGGTGGGGCCACAATGGACGATCAAAGTTTTACATATGTGTATATAGTAGGGATGTCAAATCGGTCAATTTTTGATAATCGGTTACTCGGACGTTTTTCCGATCGAGTACCCGGGTACTCGGTAAAAATGAAAATACAAGACAGTGTGATAATTTTCTTGAGCCCGTTAAAGCTCTGTTAAATCCCAAAGCTGTTTTATCACGTTTATAAATGTATATAAACAACTGAGTCAAAGGGAAATGATTTTTGGTACCAAATTTATTTATCAAATTAACTCAAAAGACACAATTAATGCATAAAAAAAAATAAAAATAGTTTACAGTTCTTGTTTAGGACCTATATCATCAACGCAAAAGGACAATCTGTTAGGCAGTTTTGTGATGTTAGACAAACGAAAGAGAAGGAAAAGACGTTCTTGGGATCGCTAATCTAATTATTTCATAATTTGGTTGTTTCCCATGAAACCTACTACGCAAACTGACTTTCAATTTTTTTTAAAATGTTTAGTTATTTCTAAATATTTCTTCACTTTTGAAGTGGGTAGCTGTATTTCTATGCATGTCCGATTTCGCTACCGTATATTAATTAAATAATTTAAAAACGATTTGACTATAATAAACCATACTTAAACGATGTTTTCTGAAAACAATCATTGAAGCCATACAAAAATTAGGGACCACAATAGGAGAGAACTGCTGTGTACCAGATGATTGGTCATTAATTACTGTATATACACAGCCACAGGCGATAACAGGTGTTTTACAGGTGTAGATGACGACACGCTAATTACCGTATGAATATTTAAGTAATTTTTTGATAGGTTTTTGATAAAAATATGTACTTTGAAATAAGAAAAAAATATACTTCCGAGTAACTGAGTACCATTTTTAGTATTCGATACTCGGACGTTCGATCGAGTACCCGGTTAACCGGGTACTCGTTGACATCCCTAGTATATAGGTATAATCTTTAAAAATCTTCTTATCAAAAACAGCAAAGCTATGATTAGTCATACTTATATGGAGGCATCCTCAGGTAGTATAGATTCAGGTTTGTTCAAATCATGACCCCGGGGGTAGGGTGGGGCCACATTAGACGATCAAATTTTTACATAGGAATATATAGGAAAAATCTTTAAAAAATCTTCTCAAGAACAGCAAAGCCATGATTGTTCATACTTATATGGAAGCATCCTCAGATAGTATAGATTCAAGTTTGTTCAAATCATACCCCCGGGAGTAGGGTGGGGCCACAATGAAAGTTCAAACTTGTAGGAAAAAAGACACAGTTAGTCAAAGAAATAGGTAAGCATACTTAGTTAGTGTAGATTCATTTTTTTTTTCAAATCATACCCCCCCCCCTTTTTAGGGGTACCGGGACGTCGGACCACTTGTGCATTTAAGCTTTTCAATACTGAACTCATTTTTGCTCTTCTTCCTAGCCACAGTGCTCAAGTGTTCGATGTGGCCCATGGGCCTCTTGTTTTTTAATTCATTTATTATTATTTTGTTTGTTTGCTTGTTTGGTTGGTTGTTTTTTTTTCTTTTGGAATACTAATAATTAATGGATAGAAATGGAGTTTTCAGGTCCTCAGGCTGACGTAAGAACAGAAATGTCTGATGGAGGACCATCGTTTGATAAAGGACATACACAACGTTAACGTAGTTTTGAACTTTATTTTTCTTAATCCTTGTGTAATTTAAGGAGCTTTGTGCGATGTTATGATACCTGTCAATGCTGTATACCTCATCTGAATCAAATTTTGAGGAAATACCAGTATAACTATATTTTTGTTAACTTTTCTTCAAACAACACAAGAATTTTCATCATTGGATATATGTTTGCTGACATTTTGTCGGAGAACATCTGATGGTACTATCATTTTAAATAAAGAATATCTTGGAAAATCAGTTTGAAAATAACATATTTGTAAGTACCTGTTAATGTGCGTATATTTGTAACATATGACCTAAAGGATGTATCTAAACGAAATGTAAAACTGAAAAAGAGTATACATGGTTGCGTGTACTAATTCTGTATACAAAGAATTCAAGAATCGTCATGTTTAGGAAAAGCAAGATCGGTTGGCATTTTAAATGATAATATTTGTGTAATTTCTGAGAATGTGATTGTTGATTAGAGAGTACTTACTGGTATTCAGTTACACCCGTGTACCACATATTTTTTTTCTCCAATTTTATTGGTAATTGTACTTGAAATAATTATGTGGGGAATATTTGTATATTTTAATAAAAATTTGAGAAAAAATATGCGTGGTGTTTTATATTGTCATTTATTGTATCAGTCTCTAGAATTAATCTATAGGATCAGCCTTTTATAGTGTATATAAAATGAAGGTTATCACAATCTTAGAACTGAAGCGTTTCCAACTTTAAGCCAACCCCCATCCACCTTTTTCTTTCACTCCTCAATTACTATACTTTTCTTTACTTTGATATATCAATCTCAAGAATTTATAAGTCATGCAAACATTTTTTTATATAAAACTTCCACAGAAATGAAAGAAGATGGGTGAACAAGGTGTGCAGAATGCCTATAGCTTAAGATATTAATAAAATCATATTCAATTTGTGAATTAAGTATTTAAAATAAAGTTCTCATTATTGAAATTTATGAAATTATGATTAACAAAACTTTTCTGAGAAAAAAGATCTCGGAAAAAATTATTCTTTTACTAAAAAAATAAAATTGTATACGTGGGATTCGAACCCCTAACAATAAAAATCCGGAGTATCATATTGTTTTGGGACTAACACGCTAACCACTACGCCACGCAGCTCCTGACGAATCGTGGCATTTAAATCATGTTTGTGATATGACCCTTGACTTAATGGACTTCAAGTATTTCTCGGAAAGATGCGAATGCTTTGTCATAAAAGTGTACTTTTAAGGTATAGTGGGTCTTTGCTCCATGTTTTTGTAAACAAAAAAATGTATATTTTTATCCAAACTTTTAGGATCAACTTTCAAAAAAATGGAGCGAAGACCCACTCATATCGAAAAATTTTATTAAAGTGTGAGAAAATGATCCTTTTTGTCCTCTTAAGTGTGTGTATGCTATTTCGTAGGCAAATAATTTCAGTCTTTGTGAGATTTTTGTAAATTGTAGAGATTTAGCATAAAATATACTTTAATGTTAGATGAAATATCAATGAAAATTTTTATATAATTGAGATTTTATTTTTCACTTCATGTTTGTCGCACTATAGGCACTTCGCCCGCCTTGTTCACCCATCTTCTTTTTAAATGATTAAAAAGTAATATATTTGTCTACTTTACATCGAGTTTTAAAAATACAATGCATTGCCTATTTTGTTGGTTCAGTTGAATAAATAGTATATAGCCAGTATAGCTCAAAATCACTCTTCATGATTCATTTTCCCGCATGCCAATTAACGTACATCTAAACCAAAATTCCTGAGAGAAAAAACTGTAAAAGCTATTTTCTTGATTGGATAGGAGGGGAAGGTCATTTAAATACAACTTCTTTGATGCTTTGAGTGGAATAAGTGGGGTTTCTTAGTTATTCTTCAGCTACTTTAGTATTTTGATATTTATATAATTTACAGCGGGGAAAAAACGTACAGAGGATGTTTTTAGATTTTCTTAAGATCTGATTATTTTGAATTATGTATATTTTAAAGTTCATCACCTCTCCGTTCACTTAAAAAAATTTGCATTAAATATTCATAACGATTTTTAAAAGAAATTTTAAACTTCATTTAAAGTGCGGGAAAAAAATCAGTCTACCTTTCTGACAAAACTTTAGACTCCTTAAACCGTGACAATTTTTAAAAGAAATAATAGTTATAGATGAATCTAAAAGAGGTCATTTGTGGAGATCTGACCTCGCAGAATACTTTGCACTTCATTACTTCTTCGTTGTCCAATCTTCTCATCAAAGAAAACTAAGTAATATTTACTTATAATACGATGGTAATTGGAACAGTTCCTATATTTATCATCATGGAACTACCAGTAAATAAATCCTTTTCAGATATATAATCTCTTTATTATTATTTTGCTTGCCAGAGTTTTAATAAACTTTATATTTTTTATCCACCCCTAGACCCCACTTGGGCCTCAAGGCGGACCTAGACTCTACCTGTGTATGCCCCCACCCCACCCCCCTCCTCTCATATTTTAGCTAAAATTCCTGGATTCGCCCCTCTATGCATGCAATAAAAGCAGGGACCTATATACTAACTAGTATATAGGTCCCTGATAAAAGTAATATATGAAGTAGATCTACTGTTGTTTAGATATACACTAATTCATATTCTTTATTCAGTATATACAACTTAAGACATAATCAACAACAGTTGTGGTAGTATTTTAAATGTAATAGCGGTCCTAAAAGACCCAATGACAAATCACTCATCTACCGTAAACATTCAAAGCGAGGCACTACTGGAACCCGAACCGTCACGGAACGTGTTTATGTTTTTCATTTTTCGATTTATTGAAATAGAAAGCTCAAGAGATTAGGATGGTTTAAGAACAGGCGAGTTAATATATTTCATGCAAGTAAGCTTGGTTATTTTATTATTATTATTTTTTTTTTGTTTACACAAATCACAACGTTTATTGTATACTATACAGTTCGAATTTCCTCGAATAAATTTTTTTATGCTGAGTAAATCTCACCAGATTCTGACTTAAGGTCTTATGCGTTAGTGTAATTATTATATTGATAATACTGTAGTATCAATATTTAGAAAAACTTAATAATAGTGTAAACAAAATATATGAAAGTGCACAGTCATCCAAATGAAAACGCACTTCTAGGCTATAGGAATAGTGTTAACTTTTCAAGCAGTAGATGATAAACAGGTCCAGTACCATCTCTTGATTTAGCTATATAGTTTGAATTAGCAATATCAGACATAATTTATTCCAAATTAATACCTGAAGACCAAGCTGGCTTTGCAGACTTTATCTTGTCAATGCCATTAAGATATAAGTTATCAATAACACCATATGTATTATGTGTTAGAATTAAGAAATAAATTTGCCTGTTTTAGTTTTTCTATATGTTTTATTAATTCTTCATTTGTTTTATTTTGTGTATGAGGTGTGTAGATTTATAAAGATGGGGTTCAATACTAAATATATAAATTCTACCTTCTTTTCTCTGCAATCCCTGCTGTTTATCAGGTAATAATAGGGAATTTTTCAGTTTGCCTTGGGCAAACACTTCCAGTTTTGTCCTGTTCAGGTATTAAAAATTTTGTTATCGTTTTAATTATCAACATTTATTTTTGCAATGGTCGTAATACTTAATAAACAATGATAAAACACAAAGATTTCCAATTTTCTGTGTGCAATTAGTTTTAAATTCCCAAAATTAGTAAACCAGGTTTAGCAATTGGGAAAATGACAATCAGTAATAATCATTGAAAAACATAATATTTGGAGTTAAAACTCTCAGCAAAGACAATTTTTGTTAGAATAAATAATATCGGTAAGTTTCATGAGGAATAATTTTAAAATTATTTTGTCAGTAAGTAGCAAAAACCCGGGTTTTCCATTTCGAAATTCATGGGTCGGCCCGGGTTGTACTACCCATTTTAGTCACACTCTTAAATGTGTTATTTTTTCAGCATGTACAAAAAGTCACACCTGGGTGCAGTGATGGTGTTCAACCTTTGTTCTGAAAACAATGCTTGTAAAAATTGCTCATCAAATTGTGTCTCCTTGAGAGTGCGGAGCAACATAAAAACATAACAAACATATTCAATGACATACAGATTTCATTTGTAAGATATTGCCCCATAAAGTTGGTAATGGTATAGAGGAAAACAGTGTCTTACGCTGGTTGACCCCAGATTGACCCCGCAAAGGGAAATAACTTTTGTAAGTATAAAAATTGTCTATCGCTGCAATGTTAAAACTCTACATGATTTGGGTTGCTTTTTTTGAAAGCCCTTTAGTATTTAGTACATGCATGAATAGTCAAATACTTGCAAATTTTTGTCTGTTTCTTACAACAAACATTTTTGTGAAAAACTGCAAATAACATGAAGTAGTTTAAATCTCAAGCTATTTTAAATAGCTTAATAAAGCTGTATAGCTATTTCAAGCTATATAGCTAAATCAAGAGATTGTACTGGACCTGATAAGTGACTTTGAAGCATGTACCCGGTACAACAGTCTGCAAATTACATGCAATGAATATCGAGTATTATTGTACTGTATATTTTATTTTGTTCTGTTTTTCAGGAACAAACCAGTAACAAAGTTGAAACCACACAAGCAATGAATCATAACAAGCATTAATAATGGAAAATAAGTCTCAAAAAAGATTTCCGTGCTTACAGTGTAAGAGAACATACAGTCGTAAACATGATATGGAAAGACATGTCGACATTTGTCACACCGCTACCGCAGACAAGCCTTTCAGGTGTGAGCAGTGCAAGTTTGTGTTTAGTACAGAAGAAAAGTTAAGAACTCATGAAAATGATCATTCACAAGAAATGAAATTCCGCTGTCAAATTTGTGACAAGGCATTCAAAACCAGTAACACTTGGAAACGGCACATGAGGGCTCATCTTGATCCAAAGCCATTCGTTTGTCAGATATGTCGGCGTGAATTTGGACGTGAGCACGACATGTATAGACATACAGTCAGGATGCACACAGGGGAGAGGAAGTTCCAGTGTGATATGTGTCCTTCTAAATTTGCATGGTTCAGCGACCTGACCATTCATAAGCGTCGTCACAATGTTATGGGAAAATTCAGGAAAAGAAGGAAGTTAGGGGCAAATGGAGATGTTTCAAAAAAAGTGAAAAAGAAAGTTCAATTGAAAAAGAAAGAAGAAAAAGCTGAACATGTTAACCAGCTTGTGTGTAAAATGTGTTCCCAGTCCTTCACAAGCTTTTCTTCCTTACAGCTCCATATTTGTGACCTCGGTTCTTCCGTCGAGGAGGTCGAGGAGATTAGAGATGATTTAGTCAGTTCTAAAAATAACCACACATGTGAGGAAGATACGGAATCATTTTCAGCTTTGCAACATCAAAAATGTGATAACAAGTCATCTTCAAAAATTCAAGAAAATAGAGAGTCAGAGAAAGGCAGAGATTCTTTTGAGTTGGATAAAGGAAGTGACCAGGGACATGCTGAAGATTTCATTTTTGAGAAGGATCATGTTGATAGCATGGGAGATTCTGATTTTGATACTGAAAATGTTGATTCTTTAGAAAATAGCAACACTTTATCCTCCATAACTAATACCAGTAGGCTATGCAGTCCAAAAAGTAATGCTCCTCAAAATAAAGAAATTGAGAATATCAGGTCATTATCACAAAGTGTTGAGTCATTGGTCACAGAAAAAACAGTGAATGGTGTAGTGCCATCAACTGACACTATGGAGTCAAAGAATCCAGGTGAACAAAGCATACCACTGACAGACATTGAGAATCTGGATACATATTCCGAATCTAATATCAACATTAAATCCAAAAATGATGAGGTTTTAAATCTCCAATGTCATGTGGACAAAAATCCAGAATCTCTTATCCATATGAATAAGAACTCCACATCTAATGTTTGTGTCATTCCATTTGCAGAAGTTGATGCCTGTCAAGAATCTAATGTTCCAATAAATGGTAACATTAATGCTAACTCCAAAATTCAATTGATTACAAATTCAAAATCTGAACAGGATAAAACAATGGAAATCAGTGATGAATGTCTCAAATGTAAAGTTTGTCAAAAAGAATTCAGCAAGTTTTCCGCACTTCAGCTTCATTTGTGTGAAGAGTCTTTAAACAAAGAAGAGAGTTCAAAAATACGAAACCATATCACTGGAGACATACTATCTCATTCCAAGGACATGAAGAAAATGGAGAGACCTTCTCAAAACTCAAGTCAATTGGAAAGGATGGTTACACGATCCAAGAGCTTTAACACTAAAACTTCCCAAAACACCCCCAGTCTGAAGATGTCAACGGTAACTATATCAAAGGGCAGTGTCAAAAAGGAGAAAGGAAGGTCAGTGAAAAAAATAGAATCAAGCCCAGGATCATCAACAAAGGAAAAAATCATACCTGCCAAAAATTCAACAGATCAACTTCCCTACAGATGTGAGGAATGCTCCGAGATGTTCTTGAAGCTTCATGAGTTAAAGAAACATTCTTTGATGGAACACAAGAAAAAAGTTACTTTCACTTGCTCCATTTGCAGAAAGGTTTTTGAAACAAAGAGCAAACTGGAGATTCATCTTTATTCTCATGAATCTGTTCAACCACATCAATGTGAAGACTGCGGTCACAAATTTAAACATAAGAGAGATTTATTGAGGCATAAACTAAATCATGGTGACGAAGGACCATTATTTAAATGCTCATTTTGCCGAAAAGAATATTCCCGCCAATATGACTTAAGGAGGCATATTGAGTGTGTCCACCCAGCAAAAGCACCTTATCGATGTGAAATTTGTCATGCTGCTTTTACAAATTCAGAAGAATGCAATAAGCATTTAACAACCCATGAAAAGACTCATCCATACACATGCGATATATGCCAAAGAGGCCTTAGCTCACTTCCAATTCTTAAACGACATATGAGGATGCATTCAAATGAAAAGCTGTATTCTTGTCCAGAATGTAACAAGGGCTTTAATCGAAGGCATGACATGTACCAACATGCAAAGATCCATGGGACAGAAAGATTTACATGTGATCTATGTTACAGGAAGTTTGTTACAGACGGATATTTACGTAAACATATGAAAAAGAAACATGGATTAAGCAATAATCCTAATAACTAGCAATAATGAATGAAAGAAATTTTAAAATGTAAATGTATTCTTTGTTGTTTCACAATAAATCATGTAATAAATTTATATTCATATTCACATTCATTCCTTAAAATTTTTTTTATGGGAATGAGGGATTTTCTTTTTAGCTCATCTTAGCCAAATGCTCGAGTAAGATTTTCTGATCAAAATTTGTCTGTTGTTGTTAACTTTTAACAATTTCATCATCTTCTCCAGAATCACTGGGCCAATTTCAACCATACTTGGCACAGAGCATCCTTGGGTAAAGAGGATTCAAGTTTTTACAAATGAATGGCCTCACCCTCTTTGAAGGGGAGATAATTAAGAAATATCAAAAATTGGGTGGGGTCATTTAGAAATCTTTCTCAAGAAACACTGGGCCAGAAAAGATGAAACTGAAATGAAAGCTTGTTGATATAGTGCTGATTCAAATTTGTTCAAATCATGACTCCTGGGTCTAGGGTGGGGCCACTATGGATGAACAAAGTTTTACATGGGTATATACAGTAAAACTCATTTAGTACGAACACAGATATAGGGAATGTACGGAAATAGTGAAGTTTTTTGCAATCCCCTGTGAAATTCTTAATTCCTTGTAAAATTTCACGGCTATAACAAACTCGAATATAGCGAATTTATGGTTAAAGTGAACTGATTCTGTGTCCCCTGAAAAGTAGTTAAAAATTACGAAATTTACATCTTTTATAGCGAATTTTCAAAGATATCAAATTTTAGAATATTGAACTGCAAATATTAATTTTGTAAGCATTCATATTTGAAACTCAATTCATCCGAAAACTTTTGAACTCCAAGGTAAATTTTGTATTCCATACTTCTCAAAATACATTTGGTAGTCATACTTGAAGGAAAAAAATCTATATTGCGAGTTTGCTATGTATACTTTAACGAATTCGTTATACCGATATGTATACATAGTGAAGTAATTTCGCAGGTCCCCAGAACTTTGAGTTTTACTGTATATAGGAAAAATCTTCTCAAGGACAGCAAAGCCATGTTCAGTCATAGTTATATAGAAGCATCCTCAGGTGTGTAGATTCAAGTTTGTTCAAATCATGACCCCCGAAGGGGGGGGGGGTGGCAAAATTGATAATCAGTATTACATAGGAAAACAAACGGAAAATGATTTAATTTTTTTTCCCTAGAAACAGTAAAATCATGATTAGTCATATTTATATGGAAGCGTTCACAGGTAGTGTAGATTCAAGTTTGTTCAAATCATGACCACCTGGGGGTAGGGTGGGGCCAAATGGGCAATAGGAATACGTATGAAAAATCTTTTCAAGAGGAGGAAAGCCTTCAGTTGATTAGTCATATTTATATGGAAGTATCCTCAGGTAGTGTAGATTCAAATTTTTCAAATCGAGACCCCGGGGAGAAGGGTGAGGCTACAATGGACAATCAAATGTTTACGTAGAAATACATGTACAGTTGAACTTCGCGATCGGTGAATATGTTGAACTGCTTTGGAGGTTCTAACCACTTATTCTTTCAGTAGATTATCCTCGATATCTCGAATCCTCGGATATCTCCGAAGTTTTTCTCTCATAGGCGTCGGAACCTGGGGTGGGGGCAAGGGGGAGGGGCTAACCCCTCCCCCACTTTTATTGCAAAGACAGACATAATAAAGGCATTGAACATTGGTGCGTAGTTTAGCCCCCCCCCCCCCCCCACTTTCAACAGGCACATTGTAGTGTAATCAAAGAAAAGAAGTTTGATCCTACCCCCCACCCCCACGAAATAGATTTTCGGGTTTGGACAATTTTCTTCTTCTTCTTCTTCTTTTTTTTTTTTTTTTTTTTTTCAGGTTTGAAATTTTTTCTCTTTCAATTAGCCCCCTCTCCCACTTTCAATTTGCTTCCGACGCACCGAGTGCCATCGAGTTCGAGAAAACGAGATTTGACTGTATATAGGAAGAGGAATCTGCTGAAGAAGAACAAGAGTGGCCATAGAGCGTTGTGACCCACTGGCTCTTGTTAAAATCTTCTGAGGAACAGAAGGATCAGTGTGACTTAGGTAAGCGTTGTGGCCCACTGCAGGCGTCTTGTTGACCATTCTTTACTGTTCATTTTATTTGACCACTATATCAAAGCATCATTCTTTCTTCAAATATGTATAATGTAACTAATTATTCAACAGGTGCTGGCCACCGAATACTAGTATTCAAGATAAATGTCATTACCTTTAGATTTGACATCTATAGAAAAATAGTTTGAATTGTAATAATGAGTAAGTATGTCAGTTAAGCACATGTCCCAAGGGTTGAGGTTTAAGTCCCCTGGTAGGAGTTATGTTAATGATGCTACTTATAAATAAATATTATATACGAGGGGTGATCAAAAAGTTCGCGAACTAATTAAATTACTTTCATAAATTAAATGAAATTAGATTTCAGTGTTCAGGCCAAACAAAAAAAATATGTTTGTTTACTGTTACATGCTGAAAAAAAATAGGGTCGGTAGGTAGGAATTTTTTTTTTTATTTTATTGGATTTTTTTTATTTTCAAATTCACATGAATTGGTTGAAATACAAAACAGTTTTACTATTGTGTGATGCTTTACTTTTGTTTGGGCTTGCCATAGGGGCGATAGACAATATCTTTCTTGTCAACTGCCTTACAGCTACCACACAGTGGTAAAAAAGTTTTGTATTTCTTCTTTAATTCCATGTTGCACTGACTAATCAATTTAGGGTTTTCCCCAGACAAAATTTAATGCATGGGGGGAATTTTGCTGAATTGACGGCGTGCAGCATGTCTCGGTTGAGTTACTTGTACATGTATCTGAATCTATATATAAGTGAAAATTACAAATACATTACCAGTAATCATTTACATTTTTTTTTAATTTAAATGATAAATACATTTTAAATAAATTGTCAATTTAATTTAGAAAAAATAAACAATTGATTTCTTTTTTTTCTTTTTTTTTTATAAAAATAGATCTAATCATCTTTTTTTTTGGGGGGGGGGGGGGTATTTTTATTGTCCTCTAATTAGCCACTGTCTTTTTATGTGCTGTTTTATTCTTGTTCTCTACAAACTGAATAGGCCCTATAGTGACCCCCTTTTTTAAATTTACTTCATTTTTGGCTGTCCCTACTTTTACAGTCATCTTTAAACAAAAAAGGGTGCACACTTCGTAGCACCAATGACAACATGTTTGTTTTTCAACGTAAGCTGTTGAATGTAGGTCATTGTGTATTAAAGCACGTGCGCTTGACCGAAGTACTAGCCCATAGTTCATAGAGTAAATTTATAAACAATGATGTTTATAGGACATGTTTATTTTAAGCATAAATTTATGCTAAATATGGTTTAAGAATTATGTGTTTAACTAATGAATCCTTTTTTTGTCGGAACATAAATGCTATTTATAGAATGACCTGGAAATGTTGGAAAAACCCACATGTGCAATAACAAGTGTATTACTTTCACGGTGTATACTATCTTACAGCAATTAATTAATTTTTCATGGTTATAAATATTTTTATCAAATAAAAACTTAATGTTTAATAACATACCAGTAAATTGCAATAAACATAAATTGACTGCTATTGCATCATACCCCGTACCGTGATTTGCATCGAGTTCACCACAGGTACGCAACATGTTTGTAGGATTCTAGTGATCTGAATTGTTTTATCAATAGATTAATAACTGATAACATTCAAAGTAAATCATCTTCTTAAAAAAATGTATAACCATTAATAATTCATGCATAGCGGGAAGCATAGCGGCAATGTTTGATGCATGGCGGGAGATCTTGAATGCATGGCGGTATCGCCATGTAAAAACGGCCTGGGGAAAAATTATGATAATTTAATCGAAAGTACTAGAAATAGTCTATTTCTAGTACTTTCGATTTCAAACCGTTGACCGATTAAGATGCATGTAAAAGTTTAACTGACCGGTGAGTGACTTCTGGATTTTTACGACGAAAAAAAAAAATTTGGATCGGCGATTAAATATAGGGTCGGTCGGGTAACCGTAAACAAACATATTTTTTTGTTACGCCTCATTAATTTTTAAAGTAAACCTCTTCGATTTAAATGCACGCCTGACACTGTTCTGCCCATGCGCGAATCACGTGATACAGGTGGTCACGTGACATGCTCCGAAGCGTTTCGTTCACAGAAGCTAAACGATTCAAAACGATTCTTATATTTCTTACCATGCAAGATATTTTCATAACAAGAACAGTCCATTTGTCAGAAATGGCCAAATCTCGGCAATAGGATGGGTGGATAAGTATATCCTTTCCCAAAATGAGCAAGGTGGCCATCACAACCCGAGTCATCTGTCTTGGGTGCGTCATTTATCCAATGTGGATAAAGCATCGGCGCCTTCTTTTAATCATATCTGATAAGTTAAAAGTCTAAAGTAAACGATATATTAGGGATTTAATAATTATATTTTGTCGAGATATTCAAGTATACCCTAACTGTGACTCGGCTATCTTCCATAACAAATTGCTCAACTAAGGACGCATCTTTTCCCCAGCTTGCTTTCATTGGGCAACAGAACAAACATCATTTTTAACCATCTCCCTTCCTTCACTTAAACAATAAATCCAATTTATGATTGAACTCCTGGCAAGTCTTTTGTCTTTATAAACTTTGTACAAATTATTATATGCTATTACAAAGGAATTTCCAAGGTACACAAAAACTTTACAGCCGTGCGTTGCCCGAATACGACTGAGTCAATCATTTTTTGTCACAAGTAACCTAAATATTGACGTCATGTTCACATTGTGACGTCACAAGCATGCAGCAAAACATTACATAACATCTGCTATTTATGGAACACGTGTACCTATATTTGTGCCAATTTTCATTCTGATCTGAATTGTGGTTTTGTAAATATAGAGATAGTTCGCGAACTTTTTGATCACCCCTCGTATCATACCTCTATGAATCCTGAGGCATAGGTGGGACTGAAATCGGAGATAAAATTAGTGTTCAGGAAAGGAAATCGTTTACATTCTTCTCTAGAAAACCAAGGCCTTGTTAGTGATATTGAATACCTATTGAAGCAACCCATACTATGTGGAATCAAAATCATTTATGCTATGTCCTATTGGAGCGAGGTTGGAACCACAATTTGGGGTAAAGATATATCATGGGACAAAGAAAGAATCATTTTTTAAATCTGATATAGAATGGTAGGACCCGGCAATACGACTCAGATGAGCATTGTGCAGATGAACCTAGCTCTTGTTGGATTTTTTTTTTGGGGGGGGGGGGGGTTGGGGGGTTGGTTTAAAATATCCAACTGCACACTGTACGCATTGATTTTTTTACGATGTTGAAATGACAGAAATGATGAATTTGACTGAAAATGTTAAAGATCTTTGTTAAATGGTAGTAGACGTTTAGAGTTCCCACCCGCCAAATTTCTAAAGTAAGAAAATCGTCAAATATTAAGCCCTACAATTATATTACATTTTTTATCTTTACATGTAGATAATTGATTGCTACAAGACCTTCTTTACACATTGGCATAAAGCAGAAAAATATTTGACAATGTATGTTTGCAATTTCATTAAGTTGATTAACCGTTTAACATAACAAATAATTTACTACCCTATGATCTCGAATTCATATTCCAGATTTCGGACGAGCTCTTGATCATAAATTGAAAATACGCTACACCTACATCTTGGAAATCTCTCATGGACATCCAATTGACAAACTTTTACATATTAAAAAGCCCAATTGGCCGTCTATCAGATTTTGAATTTATGCCCCCTCGGTTCTCAGGATAGAGTTTAGTTGATTCCTGTTGCCGATGACCAAGTTTCACAAATACACAAAGGAAACCAATCAGTGTTTTCAAAATTATATAGCACAGTAATTTACATCATTCACTGGAATTCACTCGGTATTCTGGTACGTTTTCGCCCGCACTCTCCGGGACCATCGTTGCAAACCACGGCCAAAATGTACGATCCTCTCCCATTCTGAGAGAGCTATATGCGGACTCCGAACCGTGGCTTGAGACGATGATATATACATATATATTCATTTATTTATTATGCAAAACATTTACAACACAGAATTCACATATTTAGTCTGGGACTAAATTGTACATGTACAAAAACGTATTTTGAAAATATAATTATGCATGCAATGCATTTTATGCTTACAAATATTTTATGCTTCATGACGCACATTTCACTGGCACCCATATATATAGCACTGTCTAGTGTCATACAACACAGTCATACATGTATCACACTGTCACATGACGTACAACAGTCATGTAACACTGTCACATGACCTACAGCACAGCCATATAACACTGTCACATGATCTACAACACAGCAATAACACTGTCACATGACCTTTACTTCAGCCTATCACACTGTCACATGACTTACAACACAGCCTATCAAACTTTCACGTAACGTACAACACATAAATATAAAACTTTCAGATGACCAACAAAACGGACAAAGCATGACCTACAATACAGTATATAGTGCTATCATATGATCTACAACACAGACTATCACATTGTCACATGATTTACAACACAGACACATAACACTGTCACTTGACCTTAAACACAGCCATCTTACATGATCATTAACTCAGGGTGAGTTCACCATGCATCGGACACCTACCTTGCTTCGGACTTTAAGCAATAATCTTGGATCCAACCTGAATGTCTCCGTGTTTTGATTTGTTTCTGTCTTAAAACCGAAGATTTAAACTTTTTAATGATGCCATTTTTTCTGATCATGTTGTGATATAAATACCACTATTATGGCCTTGAAGTGACGTCATATTTGACATCATCAAAGGAAAATAACCAGAATTTTATGATTTTGCAAATTTTAAGAGGTTTTTTTTTCTTTCATTAGATTTCAAGGATGAAATTTGTTAATAATTGATCGATTTTATAGAATATTTCAAAAAATGTCATTTAAAAGATTGTGTTAATTTTCTTAGAACTGTTTTTTTACTAGTATGTTCATTTCACCATGAATCGGACACAAATTAATCATGCATCGGACATTGTCCGATGCATGGATAATTACTTTATTGTATAGAGATACATGCATAATACCAAACTTGACGGCCGTTTTTTGCAGAAATATATAAAAAAAATAAACTCAACATATTTAGTGAAAATACAAGTTATCGATATATGACAATTTTTTTTAACTAGAAGTGGGCTTTCTTTACTTCTTCAAACTATAAGATCTATGATCCCCCGAAGCCAAGGGGCTAGTTGTATAACGAGGCATTGCAAGGCCTATCTAAGGCGATGTGATGCAACTAACATTTCTCCACATTTGTGGATTGATATAGTCAATCAAATTAAAATAGAGAGTTAATTTTTAAATCCGGCATAACAATATTTTCATGTCAGTAATTTATAAGCATTTTAGGTACTTTAAAGGCCACCGCGATAAATGTAGGACGTTTTCCAGTTCAATAAACTGTTTATCCAAAGCATGGTGAATACTGTCCGATCCATGGTGAATTCCGATTTTTTTTTAAATAATATTTTCTCAATGAATAGCATAAAATTGTGTCACAAATTCATATTTTAATCACATAATACATATTTAGCTTCATTTTGATAATATTCGATATCGCCAGAACTTGTTCAAGTACGAGGGTGTCCGATGCATGGTGAACTCACCCTACTGTATGAATTGCCAATAATTTATTGAAACTCGATCTGACCATTTATCAGGTTAATTATATCAAAATTGTTATATTTTTGTATGCACTATTTACAGGTACTGTCACAAAATACAAAAAACTAGTATTCTTTCTACGTTTGAATCAATATACAGCGCTATACGAAATCCATTTATCACGTATTTTATACAAGGAAAAACATGAAAAAAAAAGACAAAAAGCAAACATGCATGACAATTTTTAAGAATTTTCACCATATCATTATTCGTAGTCAGCTTTCACTCTACATTGTTGTTATCATTGGAACTTGAATTTCTGGTGTGCAATTATTTTCCAAATATAGACAAATGCAGCTTATTCTCCTTTGAAATATTTCTATGTCGATTGTTGGATGTCGTAGAGGTTAGCATGTACAATGTAAAAGGTACTGGAAGCAGTTACATGTACACTATAACTTCACAACAGTACTCAACAGTAGTTTTATGATTAAGAAAAAAAATTGGACGGCTGGGAAGTAACAAGTTCTTTCAACAGTCATTACAATGCACACTCACTGACCACCTTCCCCCACGATCTCAACCCCTAGGCCATGTTATTATGACAGCAACTGCAACCACGCTACCAACAGAGATCCACAAGTATGTCTTTTGTCCAGCTGATGACCATGAAAAAGAAAAAGAATTTTGTAATATGCCTATTACTATACTTATTATGCCTTTACGTTTTTGAATTGAAGGTTTAGCGTATTAGTAAACACAGAAGCATTTTATTGTTTTGTAGTTACTTCCATTCATATGTCGACTCGATATATCCTAGTGAACTTGAAATTAAAGACACCACAGAGTCTGCCACATCTGTCTCATTTGTATGTTTTACCGACTATAGACGATAAGGACCAACTTACAACAAAACTGTATGACGAACGAGACGATTCACCTTTTCCGTCGTCAACTATTTATGTAGTAATTTCGCTATCACCTGCATATGGTGTTTACGTCTCCAAACTTTTTCGATACTCAAAAGCATGCCCTAAGTACGATCAATTTTTAAATCGAGACAGGCTACTGACAGAGTTATTGATTTTACAGGGATTTCATCAACCTCGTTTAAAGTGAGCATTTCGTAAATTCTATGGTCCTTATTATGACCTTGTCAACAAATTTAACCTATCATTGGGTCGTATTTTGGCTGTCGTGTTTCATACCAATTGTTAGGCCTTTGTTTTCAAATAAATTTGACTACGGAATGTTCCGTCTACCTGATCGATCAATTCATAGGTCTCACGGCGGGTGTGACCGGTCAACATGGGATGCTTACTTCTCCTAGGCACCTGATCCCACCTCTGAAATTTCCGGGGGTCCGTGTTTTATGCCCTATTCACAGATTTGTATTTTTTATAGATTTTTTTTTTTAGATTGATCTCTGTTTGTTATCTTCAGCTTTTTCATTATACATAATACATGTACCTAATACCAGTAGCTGCCAAACTGTAAATAACTAGCTGTATGAGGTTTATGTTTGAGAACAAAACAACGATAACAGATAGGTTTGATAATTTTTGAGTCAGACCGTTAACGTTGTACAGGAGCTTTTCTTCCGTAGTAGCTTTTCTAACGGAAAACTGGCTATATAGTAGTTTTCCCCTTGGGGGAAAAATTTCTTTATAGTAGATTTTTCCCCTAAGTAGGGTTCCCCCTCAAGTTTTTGGTTTAAAGTTTAGAAAAAATGTTTATGAAAATCAAATCGAGCTTTCAATTGATGTTTAGTTCAATGAATACTGTAAATTACATTATCATACTTGCATACAAGTGTACCTTGCCGATTATATTTAAGTATATACAGCTGTAATTCTATAGAAATAATTTATCCAATTGAATTACATATAGAAATTTAATTTGCGTAAATTTATAATAAATCTAGAACGTATGATTTGCATTGGCTAGTTTGTAAGTGACAAGGACTTGCTGTTTTTTAGCTAAATAATTTTAAATTTAAACTTTAATGTATAAGATGCAAACTTCTCTGACATGGTCTGTATGGTACCTTAAGGTAACTGTGATAATGTGTGCATATGCGACCTGCTTCATCTGTCGACAAATTGCTTTCAAATGGGTATGTCCGATTGTATGGTAAAATTGAAATGCATGAAAATTCCAAATGTGGGCTTTCTTAAACTATGGACTCATATTTTATCGAGGACAACGTCGTATTTCTATTTTAAAGCATTCTGTAGAGAAAAATTTCTTAAAGATGATATATAGATATACTTTAATACATGTATAGATAAGAAAATACCAAGATCCTTCTTTTAGTGAAATCTTGTTTTTGAACGTGCTACCGGTCAAATTATCCAGTGCATGGACGAAGGGGTTAAAAACGTTCAAGAAATTCAAAAGTAGTGTCTAACATATGGAGCGCCGACGGTAGCTTAGCTAGAAGTAGAAAAAAAAATCTTGAAGGGTAGGGGGTCAGGGAGCGTCTTAAGACCCAAACGAGTAGGTTCAGGACAAAGCCCAGATGATTGCCCTGGTGGGCAAAGTTCCTGGAAGCTTAGATTTTGACGATGTAAAGCACAGTTTATTCATAAAAGAAATTGAAGAATAAATAAATTTTTACACCTTTTAATCATAAGAGTGAGGCATAAAGGGCGAAAAAAAATCTCTCGATACGGTATGGCTATTTTTTTAAGAGTGGAAATTGATTATAAATACATGAAATAAATCAATATACGGAAAAAGAAGTGGGAAATCTAGTAGGTTTTCCCTGGGGGTAATGTGGCTATATAAAAGGGGGAAATTCCACTATATGGAGAGCCTTCCGTGGGGGAAGATCTACTATGTAGCCAGATCGATTGGGGGGGGGGGGGGGTTCTACTATACAGTCACTTTTCCGGAAGGAAAGATGGCTATTGGGAAAGGCTACAATATACATGTATACATAACCGGGTTTCCATTTCACTATCACTATTGACTAGGGTCCTGCATTCAACCCTCCGAAAGAGGATTACATCGATAAAAATAAAGAACGAAAGGCATGTAAATCAAGGATACCGGTAATAATCATTGATTGATAAATTATAAAGTTATCACACACGAAATTAAAACAATGCGTCCTGGAAATTGTATATATTAATAATTATTCCACATTGACTATTAAAGTCACTTCTTTAATTCATAAAGTTATCAATGTCATCTTTTTATACAGAAGGATACCTTTTCCATTCGAATACCCTCTGGTCCTTTGTTTTAGTGACACTGTTTAAAAAAAGAAATCAAGAGAAGATTTTAATATACAATTATGACTTTTGAGGAGGATAATATGGTTTGATATTGACAATTCATTTACCTTACAGTTGGCATTTACCTTTATGAATTGTTTCTGTACAATGTTGTCCTTGCCAGCCTGATAAACATCCATCTGCGCATGTCCCATTTATGTCATCACATCCTTCCGGTCCCTTGCAATTGCAGGTTTTCTCACACTGTCCGCCGAAAGATTGGTTAGAACACACTAACAGAATAATTTTGCAAAGAAATGAAATACATTTTAATAAACACTCCCTCTTCGATATCTAAAAAAAATAGATACTAGACTTTAGAGTTTTGTTCTATTCATTAGATCTTTCTAAGTAAAACATATTTACATTCACTGAATATTATCTCCTTTATTTCTTATAAAAACCACTGTTGTTTATCAATACTTTAACGCCTCTAAACAAGCCACCTGTGTAGATATATCTAGCAGTGGCTCTTCCATCAATGAAACATACAACGACGTATATATCAATATTACAATGTTCAACATACTTATATATAAAATCCTACTTTAAATGATTATTTGTTTATTTATTTATTTAATGATCATTATAAATAATAAAATGTCTATCTTTGTTAGTATGGAAATAATGAAATAATGTTGCAGCTTATGCAGAAAAAAAATTACATAATACGGGTAGTGTATTTTCTCTGCAACAGCTGCAACATTAATTCCCAAACTAAATATCAACATAAGCATTTATTGTTTAAGTATACGTCTTTACAATATATATATATATATATATATATATATATATATATATATATATATATATATATATATATATATATATATATATATATATATATATATATATATATAAGGACACCTACTTCCGCTGGGGCGGAAGTGGGTATCCTTATAAAAGTGAATTTCTTTGTGCTTTCTATATTAATATTTCTTCACTTAGGGCAGTTATGTTAGTTTAAGAATTGTTGTAAAAATGTGCTTTATAAATAAAAATTATTTCATTACAACGGGTATTGGTAACGATCTAATAAAACTAATGTCCAAATAACTGTATCTCAATTCCATTCTCAATGACCGTGTAGTGTAGGGCAGCGCAGCGAGAATTCCATCGGCATCGAAAGCAAGTTTTTTGACTTCCCTAGATAGCCGAGCGGTCTAGCGCGCTGTTCCTGTACTGCTAGGAGACAGATTCCGTAGTTCAACCCCGAGCTGGGGCGGAAGTGGGTATCCTATAAAAGTGAATTTCTTTGTGCTTTCTATATTAATATTTCTTCACTTAGGGCAGTTATGTTAGTTTAAGAGTTGTTGTAAAAATGTGCTCTATAAATAAAAATTAATTTCATTACAACGTGTATTGGTAATGATCCTCTATAATAAAACTAATGTCCAAATAACTGTATCTCACTTCCATTCTTAATGAGTAACTGTACAAAGTATTAAAGGGGCTTGGGCAGAGATTTGAAGTTAATATTTTCTAAAATTTTCAGTATAATATCATGTTGCATGTTGCTAGAGCATTTCCCGCCGAAATATAATAAAAGCGTGTTTAGAAACTTCTTTTATCTGGGAATTATCAAAACGACGAATTTCGGGACGCGTTTGATTGACACATAACCTTGCACTCTCACGAAGTAAACTTTATCCTTAATACTTAAGAAAAATGGATTTTTTTTGTGTGTATTAATGAAAAAACATTTAAACTACAATCCAGACAAATCAGAGTAGATATGTGAGAAAGCAAAACCAACTCATCAGTATTGTCAGTCTGTGCTCAGTGTTGTGTGCAGAGTGAACAAACTGAACACACCCGGTAAAACCGCAGCTCTGTTAAGGCTGCATAAAGGGGGCGGGGCCTAATTTATACGGGAAAAGTTTACTGTGACATCACACAAATATAGCAATTCCTCACAATAACGGAAAATGAAATAATTTGCGAATCTAAACTGCATAAGAGTAATGAACTACATCAAAACTTATCACTGCATTCATTTTTGTCGCTAGTTAAATTCCACGCAGCAAGATATAAACAAGTCACTGATCGCAATGCACTTGTCGACATGACGTCATCATGGTAAAGTTTGACGCATTTTATGTGCAGTGAGAGGCGGATCAAGTAATTTTTTTCACAGTGAAAAATGCATTTAATTATTAAACAGAATATTATTTGAAAATCTTAGTTAGACTATTAATACAAATCTGAAACGTTTGTTTAGTGTCATTATTTAAAAAATATCGAGAGAATGTATTGAATTAATTCTACCGTGTTTTTGTCTGCAGGGTGTGCATGTTTCACGCCGAGGTGCCTCAATAAATCGCCTTTTCGCAAGGGCATACACTTAATAGATCTTGACCATTTTTTGAATACACATAATGGATATATTCCTTAACTTGAAAAGTGCTGCTGCTTTCCTGAAATCGATAGCATAACTTAATAAATACATAAAATACTTGGTAAAGGTCACACATATTTCGACATTAGCAAGATAACTTGATATTAAAACTAATAAAATGCGAATTCTATTTAAAGCAGCAGCACTTTCCATAAACTACAAGTTATGTAGAAACAATCTATTACTTTAATTTTTAATTTTAACTAGGGTATGCCCTTGCGATATTGAAATTTGTTTGTGACCTACATACAGTACACATTACATGCATTTATCACGTGACTATCAAATAACGTGACCAAACCAAATTCAGTACAGAGCGGGGTATACAATGTTATTTCAAAGAATGTTAAAGTCATAAGATAGTATAGTACCTTTACAAAATTAAAATTCATTTTAAAAAGGTATGTATTTATGCACGTTTATATTCTGTGGATTTCTTCAAAGTACGCCTTAACAGTGCTGCGACCTAAACATTAACAATAACAGAGCTCGTGCCCTGTTTACAGACACAGATGTTTGACTTGATGTAAAGAAGAATGTTCACTTGTTGTCGTTGATTTCTAAGGATATTCATGTAAGTTCAATTCATTAAACTAAAGTTATTTTTGAATAAACATTGAAATTTAAAATTGTAAACAATGAAACTGTGTCTAGGCCCCTTTAAGAGTGTAATACTGCAATGGTTTTTCCATTGACTATTTTGAATATTATTGTAGCTGAAAAGGAGATAGATTTTAAATATAATTTTAGATTTTTTTTTTGTCCTTTTTTCCAAGATGGGTAAAAATGATAATATGCCTGCATTTTTATGTGTGTGTGTGTGTGAGGGTGTGTGTGTGTGTATGTGTTTGAGGGGGGGGGGGTTAAATTCAATTATAAGGTCAAACATTATAATGAACAATTAAAACATAAAAGAAAATCCTAATTTATATAAAAAGTGAAGAAAGACTTCTAGTACCAATAATCTGAACTTCACAAATTTGCATAATTGCATAATGATCCTCCTTAGGTATGGACAGTAGCAGGAGATTCCGACGTTTGGTCCCGGGGTCACAGATGATGTCAAAGTGTCCCTCACTGACCAGGTTGGTGTAATTGACCTTACAGAAGGGGACAGTTAATCTCTGGGCCAATCCTACCAGGAAACTCACATCTGTAAACGCAATGGTCGATATTATCTAAATATTGTTCATAAAATATTTGATATTGTTATATTTTCACGATATTTCATCAGTTAAAAATGATTACTTAGTCCTGTCTATGAACACTGATTTTGTCGAGAAAATTTTATACAAATATGAACACATGCATAGTATAAAATGCATCAAACTGGAAAGATGGTACTAGTACTCAAAAGATTTCATGAAAATTTAACATCGGCAAAATTTGAATCTTAACTTGCTAGACTTTTCTATCACGCGCGTGACCACAAAACTTGCGATTTTCTGTCACGTTGGCCATGTTTTTTATCACGTGAGACGTGTTTACTCTACTGATATTCGAAGCTTTTACTGAAAATGATGCTTTCAGGCATTGCACGTCTATGAAGATATCGACGCGAAAAAACTGTTATTCAGATGAGTTTGGTTTCCTTTTTTCTCTTGAATGGTGATTTTAAAATTTTGAAATTGCATTGTTCATTCTACTTTCCTATGGAAAGAAATACATTTGAGAGAATTCTTCTTTAAATTGTCGACACATAAGCCACATTACAAACCATGTGTACCTGCAATAATTCAACTACTCAAATCAGAATGTTTGATAGCACAAGAATCTTCAAAACACACAAATTGCCAGTGTACATGTACATATAAAAGTGTCCTGCTAGTAGACAGATATCTACTATTAATGCGTCGTACAAAAAATAAATACTTGTTCATTAGTTGGCACTTGTAATACTAATAATAATGCTTCTACCTTTGCAGCTTCAAACTTATATAAATGTACACACGTAAAAAGTCCATCATATCTACATCACAGAGAGCAATCAAAATATAATATGAAAAACAAACCTTTACTAATGAGGTTTAAACTCAATCAGAAGTTTAAATTAAAAAAAACCTTAGGCTATAAGCGCAAATGCGTCGCATTCTCGACTTCATAACGCAATTTTTTTTATCCTTTTCAGAGGAATAAGTCTGTGACTTTCAAAACATAAACCTCTACTCTGCATTTTATTCAAGCAAATGCATCATTCGTTTACCTCTGGGGTTATAGACGCGAATGCGTCGTATTTGAGTGTACTCTGTTATGTTCGCTTCCCAGTACGCATTAATGGTTCCGGTGGCGGGCGGAGAACATGTTCTGACGTCACCATCAATACTTAAAGGTGATTGGATGATTTTATGTCCACTGTTCTGAATAGGCATTTGAAATGGAATTACTCCTACAATAAAATTAAATACTATTTTAAGTATTCCATCTTTGATTCCGTCTTTCACTATTGTTTATCATAGACGAAATATTGTTAAATTGTTTCACTAAGTACGTTATAAATTGTTTTAAAAAATGATCCTTATTCAATTCCGAATTTCGTACAAACGAATACTGCACAGGTTGTTTTTTTTTTTTTGGGGGGGGGGGTGTTATTATAGCCCTTAAAATTTGTGTCCTTTGGATTAGAGAAAAGATTTGCTAAATAAGCTTAACGCTGATAAGTCATGGGTCATCTTTTTTAATATTAAGGAATATTATTTTCTGTGTTTCTTGCTTACAACATTGATGGAACTGTATTAGTTTAACCAATGCATTTTTTTCGGAAATAACAATCATTACTAATTTGGCAGGTAGGCCCTGCCCATCCTTGTAAGCAGGTGCTCAGACACGCCCCCGTGCCGGGATGACAAGGTCCGTTACAGTGGCAGTCATACTCTCCGGGGCCATACTTCCCAGGAATGACTTTGATTGACGGATCTAAAAACGTAGATTTTGATTAATAATGTAATCGAAATTTGCCTTATTGACATTACAATGTTTGACTAAATGGTCAAGATCATCTTTTTTTCTTTACGCACCGCACTGCTCTTCGTCGGATGAGTCCTTGCAATCTTGGAAGCCATCACAGAGCAAGTCATGCGTGACAAATTCTCCACTTCCGCATCTGAAGTTATTTGGATTTACACTTTCTATGAAATAAACATAATTACTTCAGTTAACCAGTCTTATGCTGTTTGTGATGCAACTATTTCTTAAAATTGACCAGGCGGGCTGCGCATCTTTCACTGTTCAAAGTACCCCAGTTTGTTTAAAAAAATTAAAATGCACAAATTGTTATGAGCCAGAGGTATACAGTCGAGCTTTTGTTATCCGGACACCTTTCGGACGAAATTTGTAGGGAACAGAATTTACGTTTACATCTGCCAATCATAAAAAGGTCGCTCCATTAATTCGAACGGTTTGTCCACAGGAACACATGCATAGAACGACATATGGATGCGATTGACGAGGAAATTTTTATATTTTTGAGAAATTATAAGCTCTTATAATTTTTTTAAAGTGGGATGGGGGGTTGCTATCGATCCACACTTCAGGCGCCTGTGGATGAACGAAGCTTGACTGTGTACTAAATAGTAGAGATCTAAAAGGCATGTCATGAATGAAAATATCCAGATTCGAATTGACAATTGACTTGTTTTAAATAACGAAATCATGACAGATTCTGAAACGTTCTTTCAAAGTGATTTCAAAAATCCGGGTTTAGATGATCTCAAAAATGCGACTGTCAAAAATACTAAGTGGTGTTCTCTTAAAACAAAAGTTTTGTTTTCTGAACTCTTACTGCAGTTTACTTCGTCTTCACCATGTGGACAATCTGAAGCGCCATTGCATCTCCATGACAAGGGAATACAACTCCTGCTGCGTTCACATCTAAACTGGTTTCTGTGGCAGACTTCTACAAGGAAGAAAAGAAAAGTGTTCAAGGTTCATATAAAATTGTTAAAATTGTGAAAATGAACTCAAACAGTACAAGGAACTAAAATTTGCAGATTACTGTTTTGAGTTTCAGGTAAAATGACGTGCGTACGTGTGTTCAGGTCTCTAAAATACATCTTCATAGTGCTCAAACTTTAGTATTCAAGTGTTTGAAATGGTTTTTAAGATGGGACATTATATTGTATGTCTTTGTAAGTACGAGAGATGTACGATTTATTCGATCAAATTGTCTCAACTATCGTGCGTGCACTGTGTGAAGTGACGTCATTTGTTTGTGATCTCACCACAGTTTGATTCGTCTGAGTAGTCCCCGCAGTCGTTACCTCCGTTACAGTAAGAGCTGAATCTAACACACAACCCATTGTTACAGGATCTCTGATAAAACGTCAAGCATTTCTTATCTACAAGTGTCAAAAGAGAGGTAATTTAAAAGTCTTGTGCATTTTCAACCACAAAAGATCATGCAAACTTTCGACGAAGACAGTTAGACGCAAAGCAAAAATTTTTAGTTGAAGTTTACTGCCGTTATTGAAAACAAACTTCAAAATATTTTTCATTGGCGCATCTAAAATAAAAATTCAAAACAAAAGACATCTATCTATATATACGAGAAACAACTGTGAATAGAAATTGCATCTATACTAGTAATATTTAATATGTGATTTTCAAACAGGAGCATGTTGATAGGAGTAGTCCAATCGGTTAATTTAGAATTTAAAAAAATTCAAAACAAAAAATATTAATGAAAGAAATTATTAAAAGGAACAGACACTCATGTCCACGAGTACCTATATGGAAAAAGTTTCTTAGCAACAAAAAAGTTATAATAGGGAGGGAAAAAATCGAGAGTCAGGAGTTTTGGTGACGCCAGACGGAATTCTAGAATGATGGAATGACTGGCATTCATGGGAAAAGAAGCATGTATCCTCCCGCAGAGGAAGACATGGTTAACAAGTTCATTCTGTATCCATGGAAGTCTTGATAATTTGAATTAGAAGTACGTCTATCTTATTTTCATTCAATCAAATGCGGCTGTTACCATTCTTATAGATCCCAATTAAAATCTACCTTCAAAATGTAAGAGTGTATGATCAGCTTCCCTTAATAGGTATTTACATTGCATCTATGGCTTTATTAATTGTTCATCTTGGTAATACTCTACAAAACATTTTGAAAACGTACGACATTTTAAGTGTATTTCGTCCGAAAAATCTCCGCAGTCGTTGTTGCCGTCGCACAGTAGTTTGGAGTCGATACATTTCTTGTTGAGGCACTGGAACTTGTCATATTGATCACCTACAAATCAACTTTTAATCTTAGGGTTGGTTTAAAGTTACTGAGTACATAAACTTGCATGAGACGTATTTTAAGAAATATATATTTACTTGAAAAAAATATAGAGGTAAACGAGTACTAGATACATTTATTAGTATGTTGCACCTTGTAGGTTACATCCAAGGACACATTATGATAGTATTTCTCGAACCAAGATGCCTTGAGTTTCCCTTCTCATAATTACCCCCTCACCGTCGCTATTTGACCTTGACGTCGTGTTCTTGTACATCAAAAGCAATATTTGACAACATACAAAGGACTGAACGTATCTCAGTCGAAAGTTATGACGATGCACGTTGACTTATTTGTATCATTTTTTTTTAATCTAATTGACCTTGATCTTTCAACTGGGGTCAAAGTCGTGACACAACTGCAGTGATGAATTGATTAAAATCAAAGGTCCAATATTACTGCCTCATGTACACCTCATTGCCTGGTGACCTTGAGATTTGTACTTTGACCTGTTTAACAGCATACCAAAGATTGAAATCAATACTTTATAATTCTTCAGTTCAATAGTCAAAGCCTGGACACTATTTCTATATCTCACAGCCCAATTCTATTTTTGTAGATTTTGTTTGTTTCATGTTTTGTTTAATATGATTTTAGGCAAATCTTAATATGATTTTAGTTCAAGACATGGCATAGTTTCGTCTCATTGCATGAAAACGGCATACTAATGTAATAGTTAACGCCTTGACACCTTTTTGTGTTAGAAAGGCATAAAAATTAATAAATCAGGGATGATTCAATGTCTCCAAGAATTAACATTCGATTCTAGTGGAACATTGTGGTTGAACATCAATTATATATTCATAATTTATATTGTGTATATTTAACTGTCTTTTCATTTTGAATGAATTACTTTGCTCACATACATCTAACAATACTCATTTTAACGAACACTTACATGGACATCCTACTTCATCCGACCAATCAAAACAGTCGTTCTTTCCATTGCATGTGAGATTCCGATAAATGCATATATTATTATCGCATTGAAACATATGTGTTCTATAGGAACAATCTGAAAAAAAAAAACACTTTAAAATTTATTAAAATTGGTCAATAAATATTATTATTCCTCTACTGATATTTTCCTATTTAATTTAAATCGTTATATATAAATAATTTTCAAGAAATCACTGTGATGGACTAATCCCCGTGCGTTAGTCAAATGAGCTAATCCCTGCTACGGAAGCTATTTCCCGGTTATCCGAAATCCTGTAGATTTTACCTTTGTATCGGTATAATATATGAATGGGCTAATCCCTGTAGGTTAGTCAAGTGAGCTAATCCCCGCTCCGAAAGCTTATTCCCAGTTATCCGTAAACTTCTGATTTTTTTCCTTTTGTATCGGTATGATTAAACAGTTAAAAAGTATATCATTGAGGAAGTTAACAAGATTCCAGTTTCCCTCGACCAGGACTATTTTATTTCCATCGGCTTCGCCTCGGGAGTCCTGGCCATGGGGAACTGGAATCTTACTAACTCCCTCAATGCTATACTTTAACTGTATAAGGGCAACGGTCTCCTCTAGAATATGACTTGATCCCAGACCCTCTGAATTTGAGATAGGTGCTCTACCAGCTGAATCGTATAACCACCGGTGATCGAGTTTGTTAACATTTACATAGTTTTTACCTCGGTGTGAGTCTTTTCTTTCATGTTTAATGCAAAAAGAGGTCACAACTTTTGAAATCAAATGTGGTAGTGCACAGTTGAAGGTGCCGATACCTCTCATTAATGGGATTTACTAGTATTTAAATTCTATACTTTTTGATAATATTTAAGAGGCAGATCCCCCCCCCCCCCCCCCAGAAAATAAGGCAATCAGTGACACATTGCATGTCACAGATTTGATTACATTTAATTTTCTTTTTTGGATTATTCTGGAACAGAAGACTCTCTTATGCTACGTAAAAAAAAAAAAAAAATTCTGGTGACAAGTATTTTTACAGGATGCATTGACACATTGTAACTGTTTTCGAGCCATTTTCTGATACCTTTTCACACAATTTACTTGTAAACGTTCATTACTTGTGTCGCACATAAGCATCTTTCATTGGAATCATGAGGATAATTGGATCATTCTTTGGCATACCAGCATCAAATGAAATTCGAACAAGGATAAAATAGTGCTTGTATTGTACATTTATCCTACATGTAAATCTGAAATATTTCACTTTCAAAATAAGTGATGAATTCAGGAAATTAATTAATATTCTATTTCAAATCACCCCCCCCCCCAAAAAAAAAAAATCAATGGCAAGTTTTAGCAACTTAAGCTAAATTATGCAAATCAGATTCTTGAATATTCTTGAATATTCACTTTACCCAAGAGAAACTAGCTGTTCTAATACAAATATAAATGACGTACCCCCACCACAGAGTGTTGGTCTCTCGTCTGACCAATCAGAACAGTCCTTTCTTCCGTCGCACTTCCTGGATTTGCTTATACAGTTGTCATCAAAATAACATTTGTACTGAGTTTCCGTGCACCTGTCTTTCGAAAGATGCAGTTTATTTTACTATAGTGACAAAGAGGAAATGAAACTAGAAAATGAACAAGCATGCGTATTTCTGAGATTGCGATTTCATTTTTTATTTAATATGTCATACAATGATAAAATTATATTAGGAATAAAATAATTGGTTTTGCCTTAAAACTGTACGTTTTCTTTTTTTTTTTTATTTTGTGGACCAAGTTTGATTTAATCAACCTTACTATACAGCCTGTAAATTAGTCAACCTTACGAGAACTGTAAAGTAATCAACCTACCTACAAACTGTAAATTCATCAACCTTACTCCAAATTGTAAATTCATCAATTTAACTACAAAATTTAAAATAACCATGCAACCATACTAGAATGTAAATTCATCCACCTCACTACACAAACTGTAAATTAATCAACCTTACTATACAAACTGTAAATTAATCAACCTTATAATCAACCTTACTATACAAATTGTAAATTAATCAACCTTACGTCACAAACTGTAAATTACTCAACCTTACACCACAGACTGTAAATTAATCAATCTTACAACACAGAATGTAAATTAATCAACCTTACGTCACAAACTGTAAATTAATCAACCTTACTATACAAACTGTAAATTAATCAACCTTATGTCACAAACTGTAAATTAATCAACCTTACAACACAGACTGTAAATTAATCAATCTTACAACACAGACTGTAAATTAATCAATCTTACAGCACAAACTGTAAATTAATCAACCTTACAAGTGTCAACACAGACTGTAAATTAATCAACCTTATACACAAACTTATTGTAAATTAATCAATCTTACAACACAGACTGTAAATTAAAAACCTTACTACACAAACTGTAAATTAATCAACCTTACTACACATGTCATCTTTCTCATCAGATCCATCGCCACAGTCGTCTATGACGTCACATTTATTTAGCCACGGAATGCAGTTTCCATTATCACAAGCAAATTCAACTAGATCACAGGATCCTGTAAATACAGAATTCTCATTGGTTTGTTTACTGCAGCATAAATTAAACAGTTTTCATTTTTGTTGAACTCTGATGAATCGGCTTACATATACTTGACGGCATTTGCGTCATTGATAATATTGTACGATGTACGACACATGTACATGTATATAGTTTGCACATGCCAGGTCATTTTTTGAACTTAAAAAAGCATTGCAAAATTTATTTTTGTTCTTTCTGTCTACAACAAACTGAGATTGTTTTATCATCTCAAAACTCTTTTTATTTGTAAATATCTTAATTGTCAGTTTTGCTGATCATGAGAAAAATGTTTTTAGTTATTTTTGTTCTTGTTGTTGTTAAACTTTACACTTACTCCATTGATATAAACTGTTCTTTGACCCAAGTTCATATCCTAAAATGAGAAACCGAGAAATCATAAATATTAAATGTAGAAAGAATCACATGACTAAAAATCTTAATGTTTTATCTGGTGAAATTTACCGAAAAATAACCCATTTTTTTGCCGTACGGTACTGGTCTTGTAGAGAAGGATGTCCCAATTTACCTCCCACCCCCACCCCCGAAAACCTAATTCTCGAGAAGAATTTCCCTCCGGGAAACTAATTTTGGATTAGGATATTTCCTAAAGGTACTGGCTCCAACTAGAGTTATTTCTCCCCACGGAAATCGCACTCTATAGTCAGATTTCCCAGTTAGGGAATCCTACTCTAGAGAGACCCCCCCCCCCCCTTCAGCCAGTTTTCCCTTCGCATGTTTTAGTAATGCCCTGCATATCATTGTAAATGTACATGTATATTTCATTTCTAACTGCAATGAAAATAAAAAATATTTAATAAGAAAAAGATATTTACTATTATGATCAATATTTAAATAACCAATTTAACCATACTAAGGTATTTAATTAAACTTACATTTTTATGATACATTATTTTTATTTCAATTACACCATGTCAAGTTTATGCGAAGCTTGCATTGATACATCTATTGATGTTGAATAGGCAGAATATATATAATGAATAAAAATATTTTTAAGATAAATAAACAATATAGTACGCCAATAGAGTATATGATCAAGCCAAACATTTTAATAGAGGATCTGTGAATATATCATTGGCACAATTTTTCAATGAGTTCATACTAATCAGAGATTATTATTCATTAAATATAAAAGCATATCCTCATAAACAAGTCTGTAATAAATAGGTCATATTAAAACAGACCAATTAATGCCTAATCATCGCTTCTCTCAAAAGAAATAAAGCATATATATAGGCGTTGGAAGCAAAGTAAAAGGGGGGGGGGATTTTTCCACCGTGGAAAGTCTGCTTTTACAGAGCATTCCTATTCTAGAGTAGAATTCCTGATGGCAAAACCTGTAACTATGGGGGAAATCTTACTGTAACACGGGTACTCCGGCCTGTCTAGATAAAACAGTACAGCGTTATCACTTCCTGATTCTGTGGGGTACGGTGTTGTGGTGGCATTTAACTTACATCCGTGTTTTCGTGAGCTTAGCTCTGATATAATGAAAAAAAATGGATGCCAAGTATTTTTCTTTTTGGAGGCAACACAAAATAGATCTAGAAACAGTAAACATATGCATATTTTAATTATTACACAGGCAGATATAGCACTCCTCCTCCTTCTCTCTGAACAAGGAAGAACAGATTGAATCCCTTACATGGTCGTAGTAACTGGGGGGGGGGGGGGATGCCCTTCAATAATTTTGCCGAAATATAGATTAATATAGGAAATATAAATACTATAGGCTTGTGCCCTCTCAATAAAAACGTCTGATGACCTTCTTTTTTTGCTTGTCAGGAAATTTTTGGTAGTACTATAGTGTCCCCTCAACTGTCGACTGAAAATGTATGGCTGTGCCCCCCCCCCCTTAAAAAAAACACCTGAATTTGCTTCCTACGGCCCTGCCTTAATTAAGATTGCTTAAAATTGTCCAATTGTATTTTAAAAGACGTCTACTTGTAATATGTAAATACAGTCAAAGTTTATATATCGTATCTACTTTTATCACATATAACATCACTCTTTGTTTTACCTGCAGTTCTGTCCTTAAGTTGAAAGTAAATCCACACAGAAAAAGCCAGTGCTTCCTGAAACTTCATGTTATTGTTATAGACTGAAACATTATAAAGTTGCTACAGAGAAATGATTGCGAAATACACCAAAACTTTATTATTTGAACAGTGTGTTCTTATCAGCCGCCCATAAGGTGAGGGTAGCGATATATACACTAATCACTATGTACCCCTCCATGTAAAGAGATATAGATACTGCACTGATTAAGGAGACCTTTCATTTTCTATTCGATAATTTCACTTTATCATGAAGGATATGGACAAAATATCTATATAGGTGCATTTTAAGAAAAATTTCAAGTAAACCAACAGTTCATGTTAATTTGACGATTCTTAAAATGCAATATAAATTCATAAAAGAATGATAAAAAAATTACCTTAAAGTTTTAATTTTCATCAGCTTTTTTTTTTCAAAGTACCTTTATTATGCCCATGCAGCATTTTAACCCTGATCTACTCAAGGCTAACATCGAAACCAGAAAGCATAATTGATTGGAAAAAATAATAAACGTCCTGTAACGTACGCTGTGTGTTCTTACTGTTTCGTTGGTCAAAGGATGACTGCGCTTAACAGTGGGTTTTGGATCTTTTTCAGTTGCTTCTGTTGTTTTTATATCTTAATCTAATTTCACTTCTGTTTATTTATTTAAAGATCTTGTTAATTTTAAACTAGTACTAAATTTGAATATTAAAATGATTTAAGACTGTGATACAATGAAATAATTAAATGTTTTTGACTTACTGCTTTTTAAATATAGAGAATTTGTACTTATCTGCCCCTTATTAAACAATATGCTCAAGAGGTGGAGCTAATAATGTAAGAATGCTATAATCCTTTCAATCATTTAGCAAAACACGACCAGCCCGTGGGAACCTGGGAGTTGGGGCACGTGCCCCCCCCCCCCCCCCCCCTTCATAATTTTGCCTGTAAATACTTTACTATAAAAAGTAAAGCTAATGAATTGAAAGTTGTGCCTCCTCAATACTTTTTGAAGTATGTTTACTATACACTATAAAACAGAGCTAATTTTGGGTAGTGCCCCCCCCCTTTTCAAAAATTATGTCTTATGAGTGATGAAATTTTATGAGTGATGTCACAATCTTTACGGATTTTAATATGAAATTCTCATATTCATAATTATGTATATTTACAAATGGGCTGAACATACCAAGCTTTTCCAATCATGGTGTATATATTTTTTAAAAAAATATTCCAAACAGAATGTGTTTGTAACTAGTTCTTGAATAAAAGTTCATGTATATGAACTCTGCAAGGAAAGTCACAATATGTCTATATAATCATTTATCATCTGCTGCATATTCCGAGGTTAAAGGTCAAGGACAATGTGAAGAAAGTTTGGGAATTAAATACAAATTCTCATGATTCACCAAAAGATAATGTTATAATACATGTATATGTGAAAAGTGCATAACAATTACACAAAAGACAGGTTAAATACAATCTCGTTTCATCTTCTAAGCCAAACAAAAAATGATTCGGAAGTAACTTCAATATTTTTATTCAATGACCTATAGATTTCACAATTTTTTCCAAGAATTGTAAGACAGAGTGAGGTTTGTTTTTAGCCATCACGGCATTACTTTTATATCTAAAAACAAGATCTGAATTCTACGCACAGAGTTTTCTTTTTACCAACATAACCATTATTTAGATACATGCTCTGAGAATCATTTTTAAAATGAAATTGACCTCTTCTAAATGAGGTGATATGCTGTAGCTTAGTCTTTTAAATATGGTTTGCTGGTAAATGGAATTTTTTTTTTCATTATTTCAAAAATTTGTCAGACTTGCAGGGAACCTTGAACATTTCCATGCTTATCCCTAATTATAAAATTAATTTGATTCCACCTTAATAGATCTAGCATCACAAATTTTTGTTTATTTCACTTAGCATCAACCAATTCTAAATGATAAGAATGACAGAACATCAATGCGATTTTTTTTTTTAATTTCTTGGCTTTCAGGAACAGTACATTAGTTGCAAAAGAAATAAAATAATTCCTGTTTTTATATTTCATGGTACCATCATTAAGAATAAATTTAGAAATTATAACTGTAAAACACATGTCAAAACTTGAGATGATTAGATGTACATTGTACACAAAACATGATTTTTAAATGTATTGAAATAATACATAGAAGTTTATACATACATACATATACATTACTAAATGAGAACATTTATGATGTACTTGTAATAACATAAAACATTTCACTGAACATAATGTGAATATAATTAAATACGACAGAGTTAACAAGTTTGATGGACAAAATAATGATAAAATGTTAAATAAAATGAACTATACACCCGCAGCATTATGTCTTATTATGAAATACTTGCAATAATGTAACCCTCTCTGATATTTTAGATCCAATGTTTTTCCAGAGAGCCCCTCCCCCTTCCCATGTTCAACAAAATATTTGAAGAGGGCTACATGATTGCAGCTAATTATGACATGACAGCAAAATTTTGACTTCAATCATGACATATTTAAAAATTATTCCTTTTCCTTCTCGGAATCAGCTTCCGACACCATCAGAGTCTCTACCATACTGTTTGATGCTGGCTGGCCATTTTCTGAGGACCATGAATCACACGACACCACGGCAACGTCTATATTTTCCTTCACTTCGGCTTTGGCACTGGCTACAGCCTGCTGGATAGCTACTTGGCGCTGTGCTCGCTCAGACATGATTGCACGGGAAAGATTGACCTGGTGTTCCAGTTTCAGAGCACTTAATGCCTAACGCACAAAAAATAAATAAATAAAAAGAGGATTTAATTATATGGACATACTAATTTACCAACAAATGAACAAAGTAAGGAATGGAACCAATTTCTTGAGGATCATTTTTGCAGCTTTAACTTAAATGATATTCATAGATATCAAATGATAGCAGTTCATAGAAATGTCTAAAACAATGGGTCCTGTTGGCAATGCTGGTAAAAAATAGTTTGGACTGATAACTTCCAAGAAAACATTGGTCCGAATGACCATTAAAATAATTGGGCAAATTATCAAAAAATTGGGATTGGGGGGTGGGGTGAAGGTCACTAAAACAGCGGAGATGGCCACGTGGTGATGATGGTCGATTAAATTTGTTAAAGCAGAGACATAATTCATGTTATTTTTGTCTCTGATTAGATACTCTCTATCCTAAGAAAAGAAACTTGTGAGAGCAACGGCTGTTGGAAATAAACAATGGCTTTTGGTGCAGTTATTTATTTTCCTATATGTACAAAATAAGGTACGTGAATCTGATCTGACAAAACTTTATCCAGTCCGACAGAGCCTTTGTCAGACCAAATGTCTGACAGTGATTTAAAAATTTTGACAACTCTGGGTTTATTATCAGTCTGTGTGAAAGTCTAAAATTTTTACAGGACATAAGGTCTGGTAAAAATATATATTTTACCAGACCAAGCATTTACTTACCAGACATACATAAATTCATACATCATTATGATATAGAGATTAAAAAGGGGAGGGGAGGGGTATTCCCACTGTTTAATTGAACCTTAAATAGATCCAGAGTTGAGATTATAAAAAAAATATTTTATTGAAATGAACAAACTTACTATTGTTTTCCTTTTTAAAATGTAGTATACAGTTGCATACAATTTTCTCTTTTTTTGGTTATTTGACACATACAAACCAAATACACAGGTCAAAATTTTGAAAAACTTATAATGCACTTTAAAATATATTATTTCTTTCCTGAAGTAACTCATGTTTAACTGCTCTTGTTTAATATTGTAGTGAAAATAATTTCCCTCAACCAAATCTACGTATGAGCTATCTAGAGATCTATATTCCATGACAGAGGAAAATCGAATAAGAAATAAACGATCGTGACAGGGTAGTTATAGATTAAAATTTATCATGCATTACTGCTAAATAAAGGGTATGTGTGGACAATAAGACCATATATACATGTAAATTAAGATTTTTAGGTCCTATTTTTCACCAGATAATCGATCCTGAATCTTGAATTTTTTTACCGACCCGAACCAAATTTTACCGGTTAAAACCGACAGTCTGGTGACTTTCGCTTAGACTGATTTATTAGAAGTAGTTTGATGTCAGCTATGAGTCCCCCCCCCCCCCCCCCCCCCCCCCCCGGACCTTACCTCTTGTTTCTCTTTCTCCATCTGAGCCTTGACCTGCTGGACCGCTGCATCTCTGAATAACTGGGTCTGCTGTTTGGCTTGTTCTATCATTGACTTAAGCTGTTGGGCCTGCAGCAACATGTTATTGGCTAACTGTTGGTGTAGAAATAAACTCATTACTATAATGGTGTGATAAAATATAGCATGATTGTTGCATTTTATGACTGGTTTTAACCTTTGTCATCTGTATATTGATAGGAATGCCAGTGTAAAATGAACAGTGACATCCTTCACATGCTGTCTTAATATTCTTATTATGATAATTTTGACTTTATTCATAAAGCCATACAGTATGACATGACACAATATCCTTATTTCTAAACACCATTCAATCTTCACTGAGCATTATCTGAGAAGACACCTGAACACATTATTGTAATTTCTTGACCCCCCCCCCCCCCAAAAAAAAGAAATCCCCTGCAATTGTGTATGGTAAAGAGTTACTCCAATTTGAAGAATTTAACATCTGACTTTTGACATTTAACCTCTTACCTCTTCTAGCTGCCACCACTGTCTTTGTTCTGACATGTCAGGAACTGACAGAATGGCGGCATTTGTCAGTCCTCCATTCGCATTCTTCACCTCAGAAATAGGGGCCATCACTACAGCTTCTACAAAAGTCAAAAATATATAAACAATAATGAAAGGTTAATATCAATTTTTTCTCTTTAACCAATGTTCACTAAAATCATTTTTTATTGTTCATCGTATTTAGTAAAGGCAATAAATGAATAAATGAATTTTAAAAAATTCAACTACAAAACACTTTGATCATATTCATATGAAATTAAGTACATGTACATCCTTTGAATTCATGTTGGAAAATAAATGGGAAAAAAGATGATTGAATCAAATTCCAACAACAATAATTTCAGTGCTCAATTGCCATACTGTTTGATCAGCACAAAGAAAAGGCCAGTATAATATAGGTGTTCTATAATGTACATTACCCCACCTCTAATGATTTTTGATTAAATCCTAGCTAAAAATTGGTTGACGTCTGTCATATGAGGAGGATTTAATACTTATACATGGTCACCTGAAATTCAATACATGGTCAATATGGTGCTATCGTTGTTTTGTAACAGTTACTTAATCTTTTTAAATGACAAAGTTTGTTGACAATTAAAAATATAATTAACGTCAGTAAAGAGCACACATTCTGAAACTTTTTTCTCTCCTTCCTAAAATTCTTCAAAACTATATATATGTACGCTTTGTACTGCACAAATTGTTCCGGAAACAATATTACCATGATTACGTAGCAAACTGTGATGTCATAATAGGCAATTTACAAGAGTGATGAAATATATAGAGGGAAGAAACAGTATTACAAACCATAGCCACCTGAATATAATGTTATCAGTGGGATTAATTCATTACATAGTTTTGCATTGACCAGGTACGAGATGATACCTGGTAAGTACATTGTATACCTGGCTTGGCTTTGCCTTGCAAGGTATAAAATTTACTAATCAAGTATCATCCCGTACCTGGTCACTACAATACTGTGTAACTAATATTACAGGTGTTCTTTACCTCCCGTTGTCAGGTAGGTCCCCAGACTGTCATTTGTTGTTAAGATTTGCATCTGCATGGTTTCGCCCTCTGACGTTGTCACTTTGATTGGCTGTGCTGTGTGGGTCTGTCCACCAATGGATACCATAACAGCTGATAAGAAGAGATGAAGTGTTGATCCAATGATTAGTTTACCAGAAAACAAAGATATAATATGTGTCCAAGAAATTACTGGTTCTGGACTTTATATCTAATTTAATTTTGTTCATTCATACATGTACTTGTAAGTAAAATGTTCATGAAATCATGAAATAATTTCTGGTCTGCTGAAAATTTAGTTGATTTGGTCAAGCTGTCTTAGAGCAGTTTCCTACTCTTTACACTAGAATTTGCACATCATTCAATAATAGTTAAACTAGGAAAAAGAGAAGGGATCTAGGAAATTAAAAGGGGAAGGGATTGTACTTTCAGCTACATGTTTTTTTTTAAATATTATTTTCACTTAAATGTGCCATTGATATTCAATAGCTCAGAACCTGATACAATATAACTCATCTCACTTCTCCAACCCTTTCCTATAGTATGTTGCCATGGATACTTACCTCCCGTGTCCTTGCTGATGTTGGAGGCTGGTACAATGGTTGCCAGGGATACCGGTGAAGGGGCGTTCGTGATTTGTTGTGTAGCAGCGGGTGCGGGAGCAGGAGATTTGACAGAGTTGATCCTCTGCTTTTTGATTGGAAGTGGAGAAGACAAAGGAGGGGAGGGAGGGGCCCCACTCTCACTGTCTTTTTTACGCCTCTTGTAAGGTACAAATAATCGTACTGGGCCAGTCTAGTAACATAAAGATTATAATTTACATTTGTTATCAATTTGAAACTACATAATATAAATGACTTATTATTGTTTCTTTGATCTGATTCAAATCAAATGGTATCATCTTTTTTAATTTACAAATAAATGAAATATAAAGTTTAAAAATAAAAACTTCTGAAAGACTGATGGAGCTCTGCTTTTGGAAATGATATAAAACTTAAATGGAAAACTACATACAACTGATTCATCATCACAGCATGCGGCACATGTACAGGATGTTGCATGAGGCTGCAACACCCCATCCTCAATTAGGCACTGCAGTGTCCGACCCCCATAACGAATGCTCCTCTTCCAGTCCTTGCTGCTGGCACGACCACTACGGGCCTCAAACTCATTGGGAGTAAACCATTCACCATCACTCTTTATGCATCTCCCCCTTCCTCCTATAAAAAAAATCATTTTAAGAATCACAATTAGGTATCAACATTTCAAATAAATGTCTATATATCAGATACAAACTTTAAGCGGACAGTACTTGAATATACACTGTACTAATCTTAATAAAACAGAAGCTGTCTCATTATGAGGATATATGAAAAGAAATATTGAGGAATTGCAAATCAATCATTATCTTAATTTGATTTTTTTGTCATAACACGTGTTTGCTCAAGGCATTGGAAACTTACATTCTGATTGAAAGTGTTCCTAAAAAAAATACATAAAAATTCCCCCCCCCCCCCAGCAATTTCATATATTCATAGACTTAGGCCACACCAATTTAATTTCATGTTTGTCGGACATCTGTTGAAAAAAAGTATGAGTGGGCGAGCGATTAAATAATAAAATTATTACTTTTTTGAGGGCAAAAGTTTAAGGCAGAACATAAATATATTTGAGCAGACAATTATAGTTTTTCTACTTCTTTCTGAATTGTAGAGAAAGCAGATTTGAAATACGAACATGATGAAAAATAGAGCGGAAATAGAACAGAAATTAGCACAGAAATTCCCGGGTGTGGGAAATCTAAATTAATATTTTTTGTATAGTGTTGTTTAAATATGAGTGCGCTGGTCAAATGAGCAAAAAAATTTATTGGTGTAGCCTTAGATGAAGAATTCTGACACATTTCTCACTCTCAGACATTGATTTATACCTGAACCAAATTTATTTTTGTAGAGCTCTCCGTTGGAGTTTTTACACCTCACTGGCAGAATATTGCCCTGCACAGATTCATCCCATGTGTACTTGAACCCTTTTTCTCTGCTGAGTGGAGTGGCAGGGGTGGGAGGGGGCAGTGGGGTGGTGGGGGTTTTTAGTCCCCCGTCAAACGTCTGATCATGGATCACTATGTGTGTAGTTTTTATGTCCTCTTGGATTTGTTCCGCTGGGACAAGGCCTTGCGTTGTTGTTACATATAGTTGTGATGGCAGAGGCTGATGGTTGATCGAGGGACTCTCGGCATTTACCGTGCTGCTTGCATCACCGCCTGAGTTAGTTTGTTGATGATCGTCCGTAAAGGCCGAGTCGTCTCCATTCGGAAGCTCTTCGGAAATGTCGACTTCTGACATTACGGAAAGATTACGGAAATATTGGTAAACGCATTCTCAATAAAACCATACCAGGGAGACATTTTGTGGATCAATTGTCTATGTTTACTAAAGCATTAGTCCTTATCCAGCTTTGATCACATGTTTCATAGGAGAGATTTTGTAGAATTCCACGATTTCTGAACAATAACGAAGATATCCGTTCTTTTACGAGCAATGGCGGAAAAAGTACGTTGACTACTCTCAAAGCAAACGAAACTCACTAGAATTCATATTCTTCTAGGTAATAATCTAGCTAATCCAAAGAGACATTTATTATGATGACCTTATTCAAAAACCTATCATAATTTTTCTGAACAGAGTCTTTGAAAATTAAAGCATAAGTTTTTAGAATGCTTTTGAGAACGAGAGTTCCGGCCATAAATCGAAAATGGCCTGAGAGGTAGAATGGAAGACACGTTCTCAAGTTTGAGTTCGCACCACCCTGTACGTTGTGCTGAGTTTCATTATAGATTTCAAAAGATATTCTTAAATTGCATTTTACAGCGTCATTTTTGACGAAGAATTCTTTTCGTACTTTGGTATTTTTGTTGAAAAAATGATAACTTTTTATGCGCATGCAGTTTTTATAATTTTACGTTTTGTATTTTCAAAGTAAACACATTGTACTTATATTTTTATTCACATTATATATCATTTCACAATTTATAGTCTTTGGCATTTTCTGTGTCATACAAAATATCGTGTGGAATTTAGCGACGTAATATGATTTGTTTCGAATTTCCTCTTCCTCAATTTTATGTAACATTTTTCCATGTTTATGTGACATCAGTATCACACAATTTTTATTCATGCCATTGTAAATCCCCGAAGTGTAAATACATTAAACAAATAAATTGTTGTGAGTCCTGAAATTTGAATTTGTCAATCATACTTAATTTACAAGCAATTTCAGCTTTTTGTTTTCTTTGGGGGGGGGGGGGTGTTTGCAACCTACAATATATCTTTCACAAGCCAAAGAAAGGTCATTAGAGGTTTTTAAGGGAGCACAACTGTAAATTACTATTTTATTATATACTGGCGAAACTACTGAGGGGCACAGCTGTAAATAGGCTTTGTTTACTGTAGTAAAGTATATACTGGAAAAACTAATACTTGCTTTTGTGTAACATTTTTTTTTTATATCATCAGATTATCCACTGCAAACATTGGCAAAAGTACATCTATGTTTTTCATAATCCTTTGTTGATTCCCCCTGTCGTATCTCTTAATAAATCATCCAGGAAGATCTAAGTATTTTTCTGTTGGTAACTGATATTGAAGAAGAAACCAAGCTTCTGTCATACAAAAGCTTGGAGAGAACTAATATAGGCCATTTTTGCCTGCTGTTCAATCCATATTCATTGTATATACATCTATTAGGACTGGGACGATACAACTTTTTCTATATCGATACGTATCCCGATATTTGAGCCACGATACGATATGTATCACGATATGTTTAATTGGTTATAAATTCTTTTTTTTATATTGAAATGAACAAGATATTTCTTCACAAATAAGAATAATTTATTCAAAGAAGTTGTATATCTGTTGTAAAACTTAATTATTTTGGTCTTAATTATTATGTATTTCATATTCATATTTATATTAAGCATATTTATTTTACATATTAAACCCAAAATGTTAAGTTAACAAAGAAAAACATTAGTCAGAATTTTTTGGGAAATATGTCGATATTTCTTCATACGTATCGATATGCGTATCATCCTCACATTGAATCGATATTATCGATATCTCGATATATCGTCCCAGCCCTAACATCTATCATGTATATCATGAATAAAATACTTCTTAAACTAAACTAAGAAACCAAGCTAGTTGAGGAAAAATACCCAATAGATACATCCACATACATATTTTTAGAAGTTCACTGCTTAATCAGAAATTGAATGAATTTTTTTCCCACTCCTTTAGGCCCTCGGGGCAGGGATGTGCAATGAGAATGAGTTGATGGAGGCCCCAGAAGAAGAGGATATAGATCTGATGAATGATGAGACGTTTGGTGGAGATATTGATGGTTTGTTGTGATTCTTTGTAATATGAAAGGGCTGTAATACCTAAAACCATCACTTGTATTATGTAATTTAAAAGATACCTGTACTTTAAATCAAGTGTAAAATTTTCACATTCAACATTTTCAATTATCAGAAGATATTTACCATGATACTGTTCTGTGTATTGTGTTAACTGTTTTCACGCATGTTATGGGTGAAGGTGTGGTCAGAGCTGCCAGCCTTTACAAATTTGGCATACGGCTTACTATTTGAAATGTTTATAAAACCTGCCTCATGATTTCTCAATTTTTGCTGCCGATATTCATCTTTATCTGTCAAAAGTTTGAAATACCAGAATTTTCATAGCTGTCCACCTTCACTTTTCATTATCATAATTTAAAAGAAATCATAGTCCTTTCCCTTGCTTTTATTGTCATTAACCCTATCTTTGCTGACTTGTGATCTAAATCATTTTTAAATATTTACATTTCCAAGTATTTTTCATTAAGATCCTATGCAAATTAGAAAAAGTTCATGTTCTCATGAACTACCGTGGGATGAGTAATAATATTTCCATTGTGATGTGATTTCAGTTAAAAAATAGTGCAAACTGTTTTTTTTTTTTTTCAAAAATGATCATTGAATGACAAAAATATGTGACAAGTCATCAGAAAAATAATGTAAATAATTATAAGATATGAATTCAATTTTTGAGAATTCATGAGGTACATGAATTACGACGCTTCATGCCTGCATATTTATCATGAAGCGCTAACACACTTCTTGAAATATGCAGATGAGAAGCGTCGTAGTTCATGTCCTCATGAATTCTCAAAAATTAAATTCGTATCTTACGTTAACAAAATAGAAAAAAATCAGCTCCCATGGGCCTAGGCAGCTGCTTGACCACTTCATGATGATTCTCAATATCATGATGTTGGCAGCTCTGTATTTGTGCATGCAACACATACAAAGCATTCATTTTGCAGGTCTTAGAGATTGGCATTCTCTTTTTCATGCATACAATGATGCTCATTTTGTTAACCATTGTGTAACAGTAATTAATGTTATACATTTACAATATTACAGAAGACTTTGACTGGGAGGAGGAGCATGAGAAACTGTCAGAGGTGATCGAGGTCGGTGACAAAATTCTCTATGGACGACCAGCTCGGGATTCTGGGTACAAGACCTACACCAGTCAGGAGGTAGATTGTGAATCTCACTGTATTAAGTGTCTGTAAAGGGTGTTAAGAAAGTTCATTCCTGAAGAAATTGCACAAAAATTTTTGAGCTTAGAAAATGAAACATTTCTGCTTTTTTGTTGCCACAAGTATCATGATTATATAGGATTAGCTAAATTTATATTTCTAGGAGGGACGAAATTAAGTTCATTACAACAGTAACTACAAAACATTGCACATCCTCTGTCTATTCAGCTGGTTATCAAATTCAATATCAAACCTGTTAACATATTCATGATATTTTTTAAATAAATTAAGTGTGTGATAAAAGGAAATGAAATCCATCAACAAAAATTACAATTCTTAATTCATCATCTGTTCATTACAAGTACTTCTGTAAAACAAACTTTCTAAACATCTCTTTTGCTTTAAGAAAATTTTCTAGTAAATTATTTCATGGTGTGTGCTGTAGGCTGTGAAATTAAGGTTTACATTATTTAGATACATATTTTAATGAATTAAAAGTTTTTAAATCTCAAAGTTGGATTCAGTATTGAATTTGAAATTGTAGGAACTGGAAATGTCCTTGTCTTCTTTCATTGTTGGAAATTTTAATGCATTTACCAAATCTTTTATTTTTGCACATGCCCATTGGCTTTTGTATCCACTAATTACACTAGTCCAAACAAATATTTACATGCCCAGAATTTTATTAAGTAATTTTACTCTTTCGTGCCAAGGAAATCCATTTTTCCATGATCTTTAGCTACTGTACAAAGTAACAATGTATCTATTGTTATGCCATTGTTCTCAAGCTGTACGCTTTACGAGTCTCCAATACAAAAGAGTTTCCTGGAAATCTTAGTAGACCTGTATTTTAAATTTTATGCTTCACTTTGAATTCATCAAACAAACACTTCAAATACATTTAATGTGACTGGTGTTATTTAACCTGAAAAGTTACATTATATATGAATGAGAATGAATCATCTGATGAATGAATTGATCACTCGAATCAAAAGCAAAAGTACTTTGTTATAAACAAAATGGAAGTTTGAGCCTCTGAATTTAAATGCCCTTTGGGCTTGTAAGTGTGCAATTTCCATATGCCCACTTACAGTTTTTCCATTCCTATTTTGTACATTGTTTTGTTTTTTTTAACCAGGAATACATGGAGCAGAGCATCAGTCAGTTGGTTGTAGAAGACGAGGAAATAGATGATCCAGCGATTGTCAATGTCAGCAAAAACAGACCTATACCCAAGGTTAGGAAGACTAAAGTATAAATCTGCCATTGTTCATCTTGTTTGCTGAGGTGTTTTGCATTCTGCTAATTGTTGTCATCTGCTGAGGGTCCTATCAATTTGCAAAACGAGCTGAATTTTAATAAGTAACCACATTTTGTCGTGATTTTGCAAATGCTAATTATTACAAGAAATTTGTTGATATTAAGAACAAACCTTCATGTAAATGCTATTTCATGTGGAGACTTCATTGTAACTGCAAACAACAAACGTCAAGGAAGAAATGTATTATACCATACACTTGCTGGGTGTAAATATCTTTGATCACAGTATTTAGCAAGATAATTCTATTTTTGGGATGGAGGGGGATCTTAAGTCCACATGTTAGAAATGAGATGAAATATTACAGTAAAACTCTGATCTGGCTACCACTGATTCCAAAGCAGTTGGTCGGATTAGACATTATTCTGGATTAAACAACATTTAAAACAATTGAAATTACTGAAAAGGACTTGAAGTTTACACCATTTTAGGCAAGATTTCAGGATACACAACACCTTGCTAAGGATTAGACAAGTTTCAATGTATCAATGATTTACCATTATAAAAGTCCTTTGTAAAAATGAATTGTTTTGTACATATACAGTATTTGGATACTCTAATAATTAATCCTCACTTTTCTTTGACATAAAAATATTAATGATAAATCATGGAGGGAAAAAAATGTAAATAGTCATTAAGTCCTAATTTAGCATGTTTAGAGTCCAGATGCAAAGTCTGCACTGAATCATTGATTATTTTATAGCTAGGTGATGCTACTACACACTTATTATCATTTTTGAGGTTAATATGATGATTTAGCTACCTGAGATGTACAACATTCACCGAGCCGAAATAGTGAGGTGTATATTTTCATTCAAGAAAAACTAAATAAAGAAAAACTAAATAAATCATATTTCAGTGACATGATGATCAAAGACGTGTGACCTTTTATAAGAAAAAAATTACATCCAATGGACATACAATTTTTAGCTCACCTCAACGAAGTTGGGGGAGCTTATGTAATACCCTCGGCGTCCCAGGTTAAGATTTTTGGAGCAGTTTTCTTTTCAAGTACTTCTATGGCCTGTATTTGTCAGAGATGCATGGAGGATGCTTCTAGTGTGTTTCATTGTACCAGTCAAGGTTTCAGTTGCTGCAATTTCAGCTAAAGAATGACCAGGTTAATGTTATTGGAGCAGGTTAAAGTTTTTGGAGCAGGTTAAAGTTTTTGGATCAGGTCTCATTTCCAAGTAACTATAAGCCCTATATCGACCAAACTTGCATGGATGATACATCTAAGGATGCACACTACTGGACTTGCTTCGGATGCTGAATCTGACCTATATTTTCCGGATGAGTGACCAGGTTACGGTTTTTGGAGCAGATCTCATTTCCAAGTAACTAAAAGCCCTATATTGACCAAACTTGCATTGATGATACATCTAAGGATGCACACTACTGGACTTGCTTTGGATGCTGAATCTGACCTATATTTTCCGGATGAGTGACCAGGCTAAAGTTTTTGGAGCAGATGTCATTTCCAAGTATCTATAAACCCTATATTGACTAAACTTGCATGGATGATACATCTAAGGATGCACACTACTGGACTTGCTTTGGGTGCTGGATCTGACCTAAATTTTCTGGATGAGTGATTAGTTTTAAGTTTTCAGATAAATCTATTCCCAAGTAACTGCAAGCCCTATCAGACCAAAATTGCATAAATGTTGCATCTAGGGATGCACACTCCTAGATTATTAGTTTAGTGTGGGACTTTGCCTTACTTAAAGACAACATTCGTTGAGGTGAGCTCTGTAATCTCTGATTACCTATGTTTTATCACATGTCAATATCTCGCTTTTCAATTGGCCTAGAAGTACGCTGTTTTTACAGAACATAGATTAGGGAGTGTAGATTCTAAATCTCAACAAAGATTTCCCACAAAAATTTAAAATTGACTTATGACAATTTAATATTATTTCAGCAACAATGTAGACTTGATTTAAATGGTACAAAATAATCAGCAATTACATGTATATCAATTTTGAAATTTGGTCCCATGTAGAAAAAAAATGGAATTAATGTTATGTGAGGGTTAGGTACAGGTGGACATGACTTTTTATAACTAGTTTCATTGATTTTTGAAGTTCTCAATCCATTTTTTTTCTAACAGAAAAAAATAAAATGTATGTTTACGTAGAAGGTCTTGCAGGATAACCTAGTAATTAAGTTGTGATTTCTATAATGTTGAACCTTAGCCAATCAGAGAGATAGAAATTGTTCAGTCATTTAATAAATGTAGTTAATGCACACAATTCACTTTGAGATGACATTTGTGATTAATATGTATGTATACTAACAACAGAAATCTATATTTCAGAAGTGTCAGAATCTGGACGATTTGTTTGGACCAGCCTCTCCCCCAGCTCTCCTGGACGCAGAACACTTGGTCAGTATTTACTCCAGATCACCCCTTTCTATACTAAAATAATTTTCTATTTTTAGCTCACCTCGACAAAGTCCGTGGGAGCTTATGCTATGACCTCAGTGTTGCTTTGTGATTGTCAATGAGTAGTTTTCATAATAGGCACACACTGTAGTTACTATAAGTCCTACCCAGACCAAATGTATGGAATGTATCTAGGGATACAAATTATGAAAACATTTATTTGGTTTGAAACTCCGACTTTTTGATAGATAACAATTGTTGAGGGATCTTGGAAATCTCTAATTACCTTATGTTTTTTCTGAAGAAATTATGTATGCTGTAGAAGGAAATATATTCTGTTGTATTCTGTTGATTCTCTAGGTGTCTCCATCCAGTAGAAATATCTGGGGTTCCCCAGTGAAGGAGACACATATGCCCCCAGCAGTCAACAATCTCCAGACACTATTTGACTTTGCCAAAGCAGCTTCAAGCTCGACACACACAAAGGTTAGACAGTATACAAGTACAAAGATGCTTTGTAGAGGAAATTATTTTCAATGCTTTTCAGTGAAAAAAATCAGAAGAAAATGAGGCAACTTTGTGGTACATATAGTTTATGATTTGCAAAGTCATAAAAGAAAATTTTTATTTGATATCTAAGGCTTTGTATTAGGTATGAATTAAAGTCCAAGAAGATTTCATCATCAGGGTTCATTGTGATGCAACACCTCTCCTCACTAAAATGTTCCTTGGTTCAGTGTGATGATTTTTGATATGTGTAGGGTTGGATACCGGTACTCGGTACCAATACCGTATCGAATAGTTACTTCAAAAATACCGGTAAAATACCGTTTCATTTAATACCGGTACTAATAACGGTACTTCTTAATCTTTACACCATTTTAATACATTCAATTTGATTTTTAAAAAAAACGATTCCAAATTTGCTAAAATCGAATTCTCCGCTCATTGAAAGGGTAGGCTTATTAAATGTAACGACATGGATTCTTAGAACGATACTTACTTTCGATTGCCGATATTCGAGGTAAATCAATACGCATATTTTTTTCTAAAAACTTAAAAATACATTCACATGAATCTTATTTTAATTTTACAAATAAAAACTGATAATAAATGTAAATTAAAAAGGCAAAATGTCGCAAAAAATGTTATCTATGCATTATCTAATGTTTCGTCATTTAGTGCGACCAAACAAAAGGGGACCTGGCAACGGGAGTGAAGCAGTCAGCCGATTTGTGCAAATTAATTTGTTTGGGATTCGATTGATTTGTTTTGTTGATCATAATTAAAAGGTTGAAATGAAATGTTTGTAATTTGAATACATGTACACATGTATTAGGAATATCTATTGTTATCTCTTAAAAGCATGGAACAAAGTTTATAAGCTCATTTTATATCATTGAAAGGTTAGTGAATGGTGAAATCACATTTGTTATCAAATGAACCCTCATTCTCATTCATCAATGCATGGTACCGTATCGTTAAAAATACCGTATCGTTTCAAAAATACCGGTATGGTATCGTACCGTTTCATCCTTAACGGTATCCAACCCTAGATATGTGACAGGGAAAATTAGAAACACAAATCAATTGCCTTTGAAAACTCTTGGTTAAACAATGAAATGAAAAACTAGATCTATATTTGGAATTTTTATTGGCTTTAATACAGGGATATAATTATTGTAAGGAGTCTAATGAAGTCACTCTTTTGGGATAAAGTCGCAAATTCTAAATTTATAAGAAAAAAATTATGTACATAAGGCATGATAAGTATATTTACCATTCACACACTGCTAACAAAAGATTTTCAGTTTGAGTTTAAAAAATGTACTTTTTAATCACACATTCATGTTCAAATTGATCAATGTAATGCTTATTTCTTTCCTTTGATAAAAAAAAAAACTTTCACAAACACTTCTTGTAAGTTGTAATGAGAACATTGTTTACATATATTTGATTTTCTTCACTTTACCGCTGTCCCACTCAGACACAAAGAGGTTGTCTCTGGTGTCTACACATAAACCCCATGGAAACCGTAGATTACAGTTATCAATGTAACAGAGGAACTGTCCGTCCTGATCTAGGATGTGGATACAGTGGTTGTTTCTGTCTACTGTCAGGATCTGACTCTGGCTGTCTGTTGTGATACCGTATGGACTAAATGATCCCTTGGTAGTAGAGGGATGACCACTATATCTAAATCGGAGTATTCCTGCCTGATTAACCACCACTACTGCTCTGGCTCTATTGTCAGCCACACAGATATCCAGGTTTCTGTTTTCACTGATGTATTTACAGTAATCAAATGAATACAGAGGTTGACCTTCACTATCAAACTGAATGGTTTGTTTCTCTGAAGAGCCTGAGTAACGGACAACTTTTGATTGTTTATAATCATCATTGTTCATGGTAACCAGGAGGTCACCAGAGGAGGTACTGCAGACATAGAGAGGTCTCCACCCCTGTACTGTTATCACTTCCTGTATCTCTTTATTCTTCACTATGTTTACAGTTCTTGTATCAGGGTCAGTATAAACTAGATCTCCCCTCCTTGTCACTGCTATATCACGTGGATGGTTCCCAGACTTGGTTCTGATTGACTTCAGTAGTTTGCCCTGGAGGTTGTCGAGTTTAATGATTTCGTCATTTCTACATGTCCATAATTCTTCATCACTGAGACAGATAACACTGTATAGTTGTCCAGTGTTTATGGTGGTGATAAGCTCTGGTTTATCAAGCAGTGGTTTGACTTGATGACAGAATACAGCTTCTGGTGTCTTCATTGTGTAGCCATGTTCTTCTGTTGTTATGGATAATGCTGACAGAGAACCAAACAACTGAGAACATTGATCTTGATTATTATTTCCAGTAAACACAGGAAACTTAACTATCAGTTTGGATGGAAGTTTGGTGAATTTATCTGATTTTATCTCATAGGAAAGTGATCTAGTTATTTCTCTGGATTGTAAAATGTCTTCAGTTTCTGATAGAGACTGTTGGACATCAGCGACAAGTTTCCTTACATCATTTAGATGTTTATTGAGGGCATCTCTGTGTTGGTTTCTCATCTTGTTGATTTCTTCCTTGTTTTTCTCTATAACTTTGTCAATTTCTTTCTGCCATTCTTCTCCATGTATTGTGACCTCTGATGTAAGTTTCTCATATTCTCCATCTATTTCAGCTAGCTGGGTTTCTATGTCAGTAACAATATCTTCAAATTTTGAGTAAACTGTTTTTTTCAACCTTTTTCTTTCCTTTTCAATGCTTTCTTTCTTGGTGGTCACTAACTCCTGTAGACTTTTAAAATGATGTCGCTTATGTTTCTCAGAAATGACACATTTTGGACACACTGAAGTGTTGCAATCTTCACAGTGCATTTCACAGTTCTCTTCGGAATGAGTTTGACACTGAGGGAACAAAAGTCTGGATCTTCTTAAATCAAAAGGCACCACATCATGCTTCTTGGTGGTATCAAAGATGTGCCTTCCAACACATTCCATACAGAGATTCATTGGACATAAGTTACAGTACATTTGTACAACTCTGTCTTCACAGAGGTCGCATCTAATGATGTCCTGGGCACAAAGTCTGGGGTCCATTATGTCAATTGTGGTTTCAAATCCAATTATTCAATATAACTGAAAATTAGAAAAAAAAAATTGATACATGTATGTCTACTAGGTTGATATGTTAAAGAGAAAAAAAAAGAAAAAAAAAAAGCTTACCCCTCAAACTTAGGTGCACTTCTCAGTTGAAGGAACAAATTTATTAATCTTATCAGCCCAATAGATAAAAAGATGCCAATCGTCCAATGTATCATCTTCTATACGTACATGTATATAATCATTAGAGACAGTGTGTACTTTGTTCCTTGTGTAAACATGTAGCTCAATTATGAATTGATAAATGATAAAAGTGTCCCAATTTTAAGCTTTCAAACAAAGTTCTAGTATTTTTAAAGAAGACATCACACACAAACACCCACTTCTGACAAGGGGTTGGAGGGGGGGGGGGGTATTAAAATTGTATGAACTGAAAAACACATTGCTTAGACTAGTACAGACCTTTTTGTACATTAAGTTTTTTTTTTTTCAGTTATGGTGTATTTACATTTTAATGAAGTTTAAATTAAAGAATTTCTTTACCTTTGGTTGATTGAAAGAAGTATCTACTTTGTTAATGTACAAGAAAAGCTATGAATGTATTTTGTATTGTAGAATTTTTTTTCAATAGTATCCTTCCTACATCCTGTCCTAGTAAGGTGTTAGATAATATACCTTTTATTTTTTACCCTTAGGGTGCCCCAGTAGTATCCACCCCAGGAAGAACATTAGAAGAGCTTGAGCAGCAATTACTCCCAGGTTCTAAAGGTCATGCAATGACAGCAGAGGATTTGGAGCGACAGCTTCGTGGGGAGGATCAGAAAGTCCCCCCTCCCTCTGACCCTAGACTCCAACACCCACCTCCTGGGTTCCTGCCGGGATCACCGGGCCCTAGAAACCAGACCCCACAGGTTTGTAGACAAAAGAATTTATAATTAGTAAAACTTGTAAAATTTAAGCATATGTAGATAAAGAAGATTAGCGAGACATGTGTTATTATGGAATAGCTCTTTTGGTACAAATGTAGATATCGGAAAATATTTTTAATTTAGAAATAGCTTAGAACCATACGTTTTGATATACATGTATGTGTTACAGTATAGCAGGCAATTTATAGAAAACATTTTTTTTCAGCGCATACCACCAGGGTATGGTCCATATCTTCCAATGATGGATGGCAGACGTTCACCAATGGGGCAGGGGCCCTTTCCACCAAGGGGTGGGGAAGGACATCCTGGAGCAACACCCCCAGGCCCTATCCCACCACACCTGCTCAATGGTAGGAGATCCCCTCTTCAGACAACCCCTACCACTCCCCAGAATCTTAGGTCCACTCCTGTCATGTTGCATAGGCTTTCTCCTTTGTCTATGTCAGGTTTGCATGTATAGACATATGCCTTGTGGTCAGTTAACCTAATTTATTTGAGTTCAGGAATGGAGAGTGATTGAAATACAAAACTGTAAAAGAAAAATTGCACCTGTGAAACATAAAATATAAATTATTAGTATTGGTCATGTATTTCAGCTCCCTCAGGTAGAGTTTCCCCTCTTTCGGTTATTTTTAGGGGGTCGCCCTCACCCCCTCCTGTCACCCCACAGGTTTCCTTGTTGTCTGCTTATGCTCGTGGGGCACTGCAAAGCATCATGGGTAGGAGTTACAAAGTTTTGAAGGAATTTAAGAGGGATAGTTTTGCATGCTTTTTGAGATAACAATTAACATTTGAGTTATAAATGATTTAGCATTTATTATGCTTTTTTTAAAAAAAAAAAAAAAAAAAAAAAAAAAAAAAACTCTTGCATGTTTGATGTTTCATGTTTGATGACTCTTAAAAAAATAAAAAGGAATAGTGAAAAGTAACAGTTGTAAAGGTTTCAAAAGAAAAATTTTGGATTGCCTTGGTCATAAATATTACTTTCCTATTCTTCAAGTTTCATTAGGGACATACCAGTTGTCTTTTTCTTGATTTTCAACTTTGTATGTTTTGACTCTAAAACTATTTGGCTTGAAAAGATGCTACTTTAAAATTTTTAAAAAAAATTTGAGCATGTTTTTCTTCCAGAGCATGATGAAACCCCATTTAATCTCAAACTTAACATGGTGTAACAAGGTTTAACTTCATCTTTATACTGACTTTCAATGACTAATACACCAAAGTCATGAACAAAAGAAAATTGGATGCTTTCATAATTTAAAAAAAAAGTTTTATTTTGAATATCAGACTTATCAAAAATCTAAGACAAAAGAAATATCTATAAAGATAAAATATACTTTGAATCATTTAAGTCAATCCATATTTTATCACATACATTTAATCTGATTGTGTCTTCTCAATACTGTGTTGAAAGTATCAACACTGAAACAAATGTTCTTTTGACATTTAGGGAACCGTATGCCCACTGCCCCCATTGGTATTCCCCGCCAGCTACTGAGGGGACCTCCTCCACAAAGTCCATACAACAGTCCTGGTCCACGACAAAGTCCACATGGTGGTCACTTTGGTCCTCACCCTGGTAGTCCGTATGGTCCGCCCCATGCAGGATCCTACCCTCCCCCTCACAATAGCCCTGGAGGCCCAAGGTAAGGTCAAATTTTTATATAATTTTGATAACTCCTCAGCAAGACTTTTCTGTTTTTGGTGAAGTTTGAGAAATTCATTGTTCTTTTCCTGAATATGCATAGAACACATTATAGACGTGTCACAAATCTATGTCAAAATACACGATATTTTATAGACATGTATACCTGATCAATATATAGGGCACATGGCAGGTGTGACAGGTCAACAGGGGATACTTACTCCTCCTAGGCACCTGATCCCACCTCTGGTGTTTCCAGAGGTCGTGTTTTTGTCCTGTTCACGATTTGTTTTGTTTATTGGATTTATGAGATTGATCACTGTTCATCATCTTCACATTTTTTTCATATTTACATGCAAATGAAATACATGTATTTGATGTTACTTAACTCATTCAGCCCCGATCCCTACTACACGCGGGGTATTTATCATACCGCTATTGGCCGATACCGACTACAGTAGTGTTGTTTACAATGTTATGAATGGCCGATCCCGCTTGGAGACGAAGCCAACATAGGGTTTAGAAAAAGGCCTCTGATTGGCTGAATAATTGGATTTCAGCCAGAAATGTTGTGATTTATCCAATCAGAAAGGTTCTAACAAGTCTTTCTTAACTTTTACCTTATAAATATTCATAAAATAAAGGAAACAATGGAAAATGAAAGTATAGTGTTACTTTCAAGCGTGGCATTACAAACACAATGGTGGATGACTAAAAATATTCCATTATTTGTGAAGAAAATTATACTGATGAATTCAGAATTTTGTTTTCTTTGTTGTGTAAAAATTTTATTGATATAAGTGGAATAATTTAAGAGATACAAAGGTAAACAAAGCATGTGTTTGTTTATATCAAGCACCAAGCATCCTCCTGAAATCTCTCTGGGGCACATGCTGATAACAGATGCTGAGGCACTGTGTAGACAAGAGTGGCTGGGGCTGAATGAGTTAATGAATATTCATGTTTTGTAGACCACCACACCCACTGGGTCATTCAGATCCAAGAAGAGGTCGAGGCAGAGGATTCTTCAGAGGCCAGTAAGTACTGTGTTGATTAAATTCTACTTTGATTTTTAGCTCACCTGAGCCAAAGGTCGTCAGCGTCGTTGTTGTCGTAAACTTTTCACATTTTCATCTTCTTCTCCAGAACTACTGGGCCAATTTCAATCAAACTTGGCACAAAGTATCCTTGGGTGAAGGGGTTTCAAGTTTGTTCAAATGAAGGGCCACGCCCTCCTCCAAGGGGAGATAATTACGAAATAGCAAAAAATTAATGGCATTATTGAAAAATCTTCTTCTCAAGAACCAGTGGGCCAGGAAAGATGAAACTCATGTGGAATTATTGTCAGGTAGTGTTTATTCAAGTGTGTACATATCATGACCCCCGGGGATAGGGTGGGGCCACAATGGACGATCAAAGTTTACATAGGAATATATAGGAAAAATCTTCAAAAATCTTCTTCTCAAGAACAGCAAAGCTATGATTGGTCATATTTATTTGGAAGTATCCTCAGGTGGTGTGGATTCAAGTTTGTTCAAATCATGACCCCCCAGGGGTAGGGTGGGGCCACATTGGATGATCAAAGTTTTACATAGGAATTCAATATATAGGAAAAATCTTCAAAAATCTTCTTCTCAAGAACAGCAAAGCTATGATTGGTCATATTTATATGGAAGCATCCTCAGGTGGTGTATATTCAAGTTTGTTCAAATCATGACCACCGGGGGTAGGGTGGGGCCAAAATGGACGATCAATGTTAAACATAGGTGTACATAGGAAAAATCTTCAAAAATCTTCTTCTTAAGAACAGCAAAGCTATGATTGGTCATATTTATTTGGAAGCATCCTCAGGTGGTGTAGATTCAAGTTTGTACAAATCATGACCCCCGGGGGTAGAGTGGGGCCACATTGGACGATCAAAGTTTTACATAGGAATATATAGGAAAAATCTTCAAAAATCTTCTTCTCAAGAACAGCAAAGCTATGATTGGTCATATTTATATGGAAGTATCCTCAGGTGGTGTGGATTCAAGTTTGTTCAAATCATGACCCCCCAGGGGTAGGGTGGGGCCACAATGGACGATCAAAGTTTTACATAGGAATATATAGGAAAAATCTTCAAAAATCTTCTTCTCAAGAACAGCAAAGCTATGATTGGTCATATTTATGTGGAAGTATCCTCAGGTGGTGTAGATTCAAGTTTTTTCAAATTATGCCCCCCGGGAGTAGGGTGGGGCCATAATGTTTTACATAGGAATATATAGGAAAAATCTTTAAAAATCTCAAGAACAGCAAAGCCACGGTTTGTCATATTTATACAGAAGCATCCTCAGATATTGTAGATTCAAGTTTGTTCAAATCATGACCCCCCCCCCCCCCCACTCCCTTTTTAGGGGTAGGTTGGGACCACTTATGTATTTAAGCTTTTCAATACTAAACTGATTTTTCCTTTTTTTCCTAGCCACAGTGCTCAGGTGAGCGATGTGGCCCTTGGGCCTCTTGTTAATGATGACAATCACAGTCAGCTTAAAAATTAAAGGTTTACTGATTCAGAAATTATTTCTTTTCTTTTTACTTCTGTGTACAGCAATGTATGGCAAAACAAATTTGTGAAAAGAGTGCTGTTAAAATGATCTATTTATTTGAAATCTGTATTCAAAAAAGTTTATGGTCATTCTGAAAATACTTTTTTTTACAAAGGATAATTGTACAATTTCACAATATTCATAGTAACCGTGGAAACTACAGCAATACTGACCACAGGGAAGGCTATTCAGAAGGTCATGACCCCACCAGATATGATCAAAATCATCACCCTGACAACCGTGAACACCGCAGAGATTACCATGACAACCGACGGGAACATGATCGCCGCAGATACTACCACTACAATCCAGAGGAAGATAGAAAGAGATCCGTGGATGCTTATGCTGGACTGATGACTCAAAAAGAAAAAGACTGGATTATCAAAATCCAGCTGATACAGCTTCAAACAGAAAATCCATATCTGGATGACTTCTATTACACGGTAAATCCCATGAATAAATTACAGTAAAAACTGTTTAATCTAACACCTTTACAATTCGTTTCACTATGAATTCTGACATTTATTCTCATTCCATGTTCTTTACACACACTAATCTGACATCCTGTTTAACTTGACACAAAACTTGTGTCTCAATGAATGTAGGATTAGACAGGTTTCACTGTATTCATTTCTTAGATATTACTTTTTGTGATACATGTATAATAACTTTTTATTAAACTCATTTGAGTCTACCAGTATAAAAACTTGTCAAAATTATGGTTTTTCAAGTAGCTGCTTGTTTTGCAAGTGATGTACATTAAACTTCCATGGTACTTTGTAAAAATAGCCGATAATTATTTGGTTTACAGTCATACTCAAAATTCGATTATCAAGCTATCTGAAACATACATATAATGACATCCTTTGTGTTGAAGACTTACTCCCTGAAGAAGAAAGCAGAGGAACGCCTTAAGAGACAACAGAATGGAGTGATGGATGACAAAGACCCTGAACTTAACCTTATTATCCCAGCCATGGCCAAACTAGAGACCAAGCCATACAAACCAGGTACTCTTAAACATAGTCCAGTCTCTCTGATCTATACTGGATTTTTCAATGAATATTTTAGGAATAAGTTATTCCTGATCTTTGTTGCTTAGGAAATAATCCAGTGCGATGAACATGGTGTTGTTGGCCAGAAGAAATTCAAATAAATCTTTTGTTACCTGTTTGATAATTTTTTCATGATGTGCATTTGATGATTTTTTAGCATTTTCTTAGTATGAGGGGTGCATACAGAGTAGATTGCAAAGTAGTTTATTTATGTTATTATTTACAGCTCAGTTTGAGGGGTTACTGAGGGGTATATGCGATTATTTGCAGCTCAGTTTGAGAGGTATAGATTATTATTTACAGCTCAGTCTGAGGGGTCATTGAGGGGTACATGTGATTATTTGTAGCTCAGTCTGAGGGGTCATTGAAGGGTATATGTAATTATTTACAGCTCAGTCTGAGGGGTCATTGAGGGGTATATGTAATTATTTACAGTTCAGTCTGAGGGGTCATTGAGGGGTATATGTGATTATTTCCAGCTCAGTTTGAGAGGTATATGTGATTATTTACAGCTCAGTTTGAGGGGTCTTTGGGTAGACTTACCACCTCCAGTGTTCACAATCCCAGACAGATCATTGATGTTCGGAGTGAAGGCAAACACCATACAGAGGACGGAGAACCAAAAAACGTCTCTAAGGAACTCAGACGCAGTCGACAATTACTGATGGAAATAGAAAATGTATGTTACATTCATTTGGAGGGGTAATGATTTTTTAGGGGGAAAATGATGTAAATTGATAATTTTTTATTATAATATATTTTATTAATTGAAAGAGGTTGGAGTTGTTGAGTTCATTACTCCAAATTTTCCTTTGCATTCTAGTAGCTGAGAGTTTAGGCAAAATTAAAAATACATTACAAATTGTGCTCTATAAATGAATCTTTATTCTTAGTAAAAGTTGATTTATTTTTTTTCTTTTTGCAAGGGCTATAATTTACTGTTGGATGTGGACGACATAGAAAAGAAAATTTTAGCTTTACCAGAAGAAGCCAGGTAAATTTAAAACACTGTAAATTCCTTATTTTACGCAAGTATTTAGTTTAACAAAATGACTCATTGATGTCAAATCACAAAAACATACATGTAAATAAGTAATCAGGCATTTGATCCAGAGCTTTTACATGCTTTTCAGTGATATAAAAATAAAAGCGAGTAGTTTTATTTCACAAGTTTTGTTTCTCGCAAAATACGTGATCATGGCGATAATAAATTCCTCGCATATAATTTGGAATCTACACTACTCTGTATTGTGATTGCTTCAAATTTTGAAAAGTACTGTAATATGAAGTGAAACTAAAATACCGTTTTTAGAAATACCTATTTTAGCATACACAAAATTCAGTGCATTGATCAGAAAAAAAAAATTGTAGAGTTTTTCAGTCTTACAGATTGCCAACAAGCAAAAGAGCATAAATATTCATGTATATATCTACTAAAATGTAAAATTTAAATTACAGGAAGCCATTATTTGAAGACAGGAAAAACATGCTTACAGATTTATACAAGTACCTGTTGTCTCCTGGAAATAACGAACATTTCCTATCCATTATGTCAATCCGTAAAGGGAGAAAACTAGTGGCCCGGGTCCTTCCGCTCCTAGAAAAAGTAAGAGAAATGGTGGAAACTTCAGGCTTTGGCCAATGGCAATAATCTTTGCAAATGGTTCTAGGGAGAGAAAAAAATGATTGGTTATTAGTCTGTAATTGACATTAGTGTATCAGAGCATTTGATTGGTTCCTTTTAATCGACATTAGTGTATCAGAGCATTTGTTTGGTTCCTTTTCAGACTCAGGCAGAAAATCTGGTACAACTACTGCTGAAGAACATGGCTTATCTGATCAAGAAAGATCAAGGGGAAGAGGTCTGTGTTCTTATTACACAATTTTATAATTCTCAGTAATATCAGAGATAAGCTAAAGGATTCATGAAAATTTTATAAATACACTGTACATTAATTTTCTTCCATCGTACTTTATAGAAAAATGATTCAAAACTTTGAATTGACCATCTATTTGAAATTTTGTTTTAGAAAAACAAGTCTAATTGTTTTCTAATTATTCTTCACTTCAATAATTGCAAACATTAATTTGATCACATACAGGGCCTGATGTGCCTACATGATTCTGTTATCCGAGTGATTGACAACTGTGATCTCCAAAACCTTGTCAACTTTGCCACGGAGCTGAAAGAATCAGGACAAAACCAGTCAAAGACAGCCGCTGTAGCCATACAAAACAAGGTCTGTATACAAAACCAGTCAAAGACAACCACTGTAGCCATACAAAACAAGGTCTGTACACAAAACCAGTCAAAGACAGCCGCTGTAGCCATACAAAACAAGGTCTGTATACAAAACCAGTCAAAGACGGCTGCTGTAGTCATACAAAACAAGGTCTGTACACAAAACCAGTCAAAGACAGCTGCTGTAGCCATACAAAACAAGGTCTGTACACAAAACCAGTCAAAGACAGCAGCTGTAGCCATACAAAACAAGGTCTGTACACAAAACCAGTCAAAGACAGATGCTATTAAAAGCCATTTAAAACTGCATCTTTACACAAAACCAGTAAATAACAAATGCTATGTAGCATCCACAAATGATAAAATGTTGCTATGAATTTGTGAGGCTTAATGATATAATTCTAGCATTAAGTGGCAATTTAGCATTAGCAGTTGAGAGTGTCAACTATTAATGCAACAATTTATGGCATTAAGTGTTGCAATTGCAATGCTTAATAATATTTATATTAAGTAGTGTTTTATTGTTAGGGTTTGTTACAGTTCTATAACCATGCAGACCAAGGTTTTTAACAGTCAAGTACACAAAAGTCATATACAGTCAGTACACAAAGTCATATATAGTCAATACACAAAAATCAAATTTAGTCAGTACACATAGGTCGTATATGGTCAGTACACAAAGGTCATATACAGTCAGTATACAAAAGTCATATACAGTCAGTACACAAAAGTAATATATAAATACACAAAAATATTTAGTCGGTACACATAGGTCATATATAGTTAGTACACAAAGGTCATATAAAGTCGGTAGAGAAAGTCATATAGAGACAGTACACAAAAGTCATATATAGTCAGTACTCAAAAATCATATTTAGTCAGTACACATACATGTAGGTGATATATAATCAGTATACAAAGGTCATATTTAGTCAGTACACAAAGGTCATATATAGTCAGTACACAAAGGTCATTTATAGACAATGCACTCACATGCAGCAAGTCGCATTGCGAAGGTGGATAAAATATTGGAATGAAAGATGATTTCAGTTTTGACAGAAGGCCAAGCTACAGAGTTCTAAGCTTTGGGATGTTTGAAACTTGTGATTTTGATACTCATACTTGAAATATATCTGCTCCTAATTCATGCATTTGAGAACTATAGCAGTTTTACAGAAATGTTCATTAATATCACAAAATAATATGGCACAACATTCAGTAGATGCATGTGTTATTAATATATAAAATTTCAGAGTTTGTAAATGAGGAAGTTGTACTACAGTCTCATCATAAAATTTATGTATGTTTAAATTGTTCAGTATATTAAATGTTCTATTGACTAAACAACATTGTCACATTTGTGTGTTTGTTTTACAGTTTGGGAGTTCCCTGGTTTGTAGTCTGTTACACAGGGGAGAGGTACTTCACGCCAACACATCACCTCTGGACATTGACAACCAGCTGGAAACTTTATGGTTAGTCTGTATGTCTGTCTATTTTTACATGGAGAAAAACAAACAAGAACTTAACAAGTTGATGTTTTGAACACTTGACAAAAGTATTGATATTGCTGCTGTTGTCATTCTCTACATTTGACTTTGGTTTAATCACTATTATCCCTTTTGTTGTGGTACTACTTATATACTTACATAAGTATGTCATTAATGTTTATTGTTACAGGTGTCAGTTTGTTCATGAATTTGCCGGGATCCTTGCTGTGGTCCCTACAGAATCTCTGGTGCACCCCAAACAGCATCACGCCTCAATCTTAGAACATTTCGACCGTCTTCTCAACAAAAAACTCATAGCAGTTATTGAAGATAAGGTCAAGCTATTCACTGAACCAGAACGAGCCGCATGATGTTGCGGTCTGATGACTTTTTGAATTCACTTGTGATTAATTACAAAATTAGTGTAAACTACTGCAGTTTTTTCAAGAAGTATCAATCCGTGTGAACAATTGTGTTTGATGCATTTAACCAAGTTTAATCTGAAATGAATTTTCTTTTTGATGAATTGAGATTTGAAATGTTTGTTTTATAGATATTCAAACAGAAGGTAAATACACGTAAGTATGGGTTTTTTTTTCTGTAATTATGTGCTAGAAAGACTTAAATATTTATTTTTATTATTATGAGAGTGAAAGATAACTTTCAAAACTACTTTCAAAGATTACCGGCTTAAAATTTCAATTCATGAATCAGACAGTTTTAAGATGTTTGAAAATTTTAGTTGTGCTGCTAGGACTAAATTTGTTTACTTGTTTAGCAGTACAGATAAAAAATGACTGAATTCCTATATCAAATGAGTACATGCATGCAGATGTTTATTATTATAATTTTGAATGGGAGAGTTTGGAAACGTACCAGTTTGTTAGCTTCATTTATTTATTTAATGATGTATGTAAAATTGAGGATCATTTGATGATCCACATTTCCTCTGTTGTTTATAATGGTTTGATCATGTATTGATTAATTTTTTCACAGTTTATCAATCTATCATGTGTTGTAATACATAACAATCATAATTTTCATTTATCATCAAGTAAAATATTTCTAATATTATCTACCATGTTCAGGTTAGTGACTGTTTTGCTTTTATGTATGTACATAAGTACTATTAAATTTAAGTACTTCAGTACCATTTAGTTCCTTCTCATGCAAATATTTAATTAGAATATGGTTTACCATTTGAACCATGAGATATGTTTTGACCCTATGCATGTATGGATTGTATCTAATCAGTCTGTAAAAATAGTTATGTAATTTGTAATGACATTGGCTGTGATAAGGGAACTAGTTTTGAGCTGGTAGACCCAGAGTGAGTCAATTGTAATGAGATAAGTTTGTAACTGTGAAATGCCGTAAAGTTGCGTAGGTGCAGTTTATCATACTAAGGTCTGTGGGGCGATATTTGTTAAGCCCAGGCGATATATGTTTAGGCCTTAAAACACAGACTAGTTATCTTTCACTAAGTCTAGTGCTTCTGTTTCCACATTTTGAATTTCTAAGTAAAGATTTGCAGAAGAAATGTCTGAATTTTATTATTTTTTGCCAGTGCATACATATAACAGTCAAAGCTTGTTATATGAAACCCAATGAGACTGTAAAAACGAAGAGTTGATATTGATGGTCGAATTAAAGCTGGACGTGATTCGTCAAAGGAAGAGATTTATCTTTGTCCGCCATATTAGAATTCTCGAGATCGTCGATCTCAATCCGCTATATAAGCCTCTGCTTTGTACAGATTTCAATGTGTTTTGCTTCACGGACTACACCTAAAAGGATGTCTCCGTCATTGTCATTGTGTTACACTTAGGCGAGACAAAACTGACTTCTTTTTGCTTCTGCCAAAAAGTTATCCAATATATTCGATACCAATTGCACAGGTCAGAAAGTGAAATAAACACAAATGTACGTTCAATGAAATAAAACGTAAACAAAAAAGACGATGTAAAAGACATACATGTACTACTCGCAGCAGCGACAAGGTAAAAGCAATCAAGTGTAACGAATGCGAAGGGTGATGATATAAGTGATAGGAAAATTAAAATGGTGTATGCCTATTTACGAGTCGTGTTCAGCTTTAATAGAGAAAAAGTGATTGGGACTTCAAAATGAATTTGACATATCCATGGTATTCCAAATATCAGTGTTCAAGATATACTTAACTGATACGGCATGATTCTGACCAGTAAGTACATGTATAAGGTCAATATTGTTCAAAGGGTTTTGGTAATTTAGATATCCTTTCCAAAGCCTAAGCGTAAAAATGCTCAATGGTCAAAAACAGAGATCCTGAACCGCAAGGGTTGATGCAAGTATCATACCGTATTTGGTATGGATCATATGAAGAAGTTGCATTCTATCAATGTTTAACTCGGCCTTTTTCTATCTTTTTCATACATGTAGATCTTCAAATGTACATTTAATAAAACATATTAGTGAAAACCTTTTTTTTTTAAATTCCAATATGTTGCAGTGAGTATTGTTTAAGCTTTACCTTGTGTTTCCACAGAAAGTGTTTCCCATAGTAACAGAAATACCGATAAGTAAGGAATCGACCGCCCTGCTACAATAAGTTCCCCCAAAATATGACGTTCCACTTGCATTTTTCTATGAAAACACCGTCATACTACAAACTCTCTTCTTCAAAAAAATGTAATCGATATCGAAAAAATGAAAACGACCATGAAAATCGGAAAGTCTACACTATGTATTAACAAAGCATGTTAATTTTTGAGATAGGACCATTTTTGATGGTTTGTGGTCCTTGATCTTAATAAGCCCGAAAATAAAAGTATATAAACACTAAATTAGAGTTCGCTTAGTAAGTAGGGGGTGAAGGTTGGGTAATTTTCTCTGACAAATTCTGTTTATTTGTTGACACTTGTGAATTAATGAAGTAGCACACTCTTGTGCCACGTGATTCGAACAATATCTGCTTTAATTTGCTAAATCGATTAATCATTAATAGTGGACCTGGGGTTGGGGGGGGGGGGGGGCTCAATTCAGAAGAATGAATCTAGAGTGGGCTTCACATCCGCAATGGAATAATTCATTAACTGTGCCTAGAGCATTCTGCAGTTTACTGCAATTTTAATTTTTGAGGTGAAAAATAAGAGATCAGTAGAACGAATGATCAGCACATAGTTTAAAATATTCCAGTGTGATACTGTTTTGTAGCAATCACATCTTGTCTGGCCATTCCGGCAAGCTCGGAAAACATATCCGAGGTTGTTTTTCAGAGCTTACAGAAAGATCCAGGAATGTAGTGTAGAACTGATCTCAACAGTCTTACCATTATAAGACCTAAGTTACTGTTACTTTTTTGTTTATTTATGGTACAGGTTAGACAACAAAACACGAAACTTCAGATCATATGTATTTTCTGATGATAAAACGAAGTTGACATGGTACAGTTTATCTACAGTAGTCTTCCCAGAATGCCCTACCGTGAAGTCGAGCATGCGTATTCCAGTAAAAAAAAAGATAACGTAGTTGCTAGCGCTCGAGAACGCTAGCAAAGCACTTGCTCCAGGGGGAGACTAATAACAGAAACAGACTTCAAAAGGGACGCTTAAAATAAAAAAAAGTTTGAAAAATGCATTAAAAGTCACATTTTGAAACCTTGTTCTTTATAGCCTCTTTCTAAATGCCTCTTTTCAAATTTGTCTGACTTTACCCAATTATTTGTTTCAGCCAATGCAAATAGATTTAAAAAGAATGATTTTTTGAATTCTGTGCCAGGTGCAAAATAGAAAAAATAGATTTTAATAAGGATACATAGAAATGCTAATGCAGGAATTTTGCGTTAAATTATTATTTTTTTTTCTAATTTGATATACAGAAACACACGACTGAAATTGGATTTTTTTTTTTACTTTTATGTACATATGATAAGTAAATGTGTAAAAAGATATAGTTGTAGTCAGTCGGGATTCACCGTAACCATGTTCACATTAAACGTATTTTACTGTTTTCAAAAAGTAATAAACAATTTTTCCATGAAAATTTTCGAAAGACAGTTTAATTGGATTAGATAATTTTACAATTATCTGGTACTTGTACTTGACGAAATCAAAGTCAGTTTGTAATGTGAAACTTGGAAAATTTCTTCAAAATAAGGCAAACTTCGGAAGAAAATGATAAACAAGTGTTCAAATGCCTTCATCTTTAATACATGTATTTTCTATTGCTAGACCAATTTTGGCCGAGCAAAACTTTGAACCTTAATCATGTCTATTATAATTTAATTATTCATTAAATTTGACGATAATGCCGTATTATGTGATAAAACTTTTATAAATTTATTAGAATGATTTCCGAAAGGTAGATTTTTAACCTCATAGAAAGTTAACAATTTCTCAATAACTTATAATTTTTTATTTTCATCATTTACAACAAAAAAGGGTATTTTGGAATACTTATTCACGTTTCCATATTACTATCATATGTCCTTAAGCACTGTCTTAATCAGGTTAATACCAACACATAAAATATTCATTCAAAGGGTAGTTTGATTAGATAAACCATCTAAAATTATGAGGAACAATTAATCTGATTAATAGCCATTTGAAAATATTGGGACAATATATCACTAGATTCATCATGAAATATATGGAGATAACGAACAGTATTCAAGCTCAAAAGTCCATTAATCAATACAAAATAGGAGCAGAGCAAACACGGACCTCCAAACATCAGAGGTGGGATCAGGTGCCATGGAGGAGTGAGCATCCCCTGCCGACCGGTCACACCCGCCGTGTGCTCCTTGTCATGATCGGGAAATACCGGAAAATTCCGTCGACAATTCAGTGTGCATCTATTTCCAAGGCCATTTGTTTTATTAATTTTACATGCTTTATAAGAAGAATTTCAACAAAAAAAGACAATAAATTAAAAAAAAAAAAAACAGTATGTTTAGCATCAGAAGATTGGCAGCTATCCTTCCTTTCCTATGAAAAAGGTAATGAACAGTGAGCGATCTCAAAACTCATACAAAAAATGCACAAATTTGAGCATACAATATGGGACCCTGGAAACTTCGAGGTAAGATCCGGTGCCTAGGAGGAGTAAACATCCCATTCGACCGGTTTGAGCCGCCTTTAGCCGTAGGTAATGAGCAGCTGGACGAGGTAATCCGTAGTGAAATAAAGTATAAAATCTGGTATTAAACATGTCACTCAATTGTATTAATAAACAGAGTCATTAAAACGACCAAAGACGTTTTGGAATGCTGACTTTAAAAGATGTTTTAATCCTCTGTAACATCAACTCTTTAGCCAGTTGCCTACCTTACTTTAAAAATTGATCGTACTCAGAGCATGTTTCTGTGCATCGAATAAGTTGGGAGACATAAAAACCATATGAGGTAATCGGTAATTGTATATAGATAATGAAAGTTGACGATGCAAAAGGTGAAGGCATCTCGTTTGTCAAA